AATGATTGAGGAAATAGCCATGGCGCTTCGTGAAGTTGAAGATGATCCAGGGTTTGAGGAATTGGATGAGGTGCCATTGTTCTGGTAAACTTGGTTCGATGGATTGGCAGAAGAAGCGACATTATTTTGAGAGGCGTAACCTAAGTGAGGAGGAGGCAAGAGCGACGAAACATTATTGCATTGGGTAAGATGATTCGAAGTGCCGGAACTAACTGCATTGTTGTAATTAGAGTGGCCAGAGAAGTCGCTGGGAGAGATGTCAGAAGAGACATTATTGCTCTGAGACATCTGGTTTGAATTTGCATAAGGTTTCATCTTGAAAAAGTCTTCTGGTGAACTAATGTTGGCGCCATTCATGCTTTGAGACCTAGAGGCCATGGAATTGGTAGAAAAGTTGTTATTGCTGTAAGAAGCACTTTTCATAAGATCGCCATTATTGTTGTGAGCGATGCGAGAATTATTACCCAACTGACCCATGGAGGAGTTGTTCATGTTTTGAGATCGAGAGGTCATGGAATTGGTCATGTTGTTATTTGCACTGTAGGAACCACTGTTTGATAAACCCATGAAAGAGTTGTTACCGTTTTGGGGAAGAGGAGTCATTGAGATATTGCGGGAGGTAGTGCTCGATGAACCCATGTTATTATTATTCTGAGATAGAATTGACATTGTACTGGCAGGAAGCCCGTTGTTTCCATAAGCGTTGTTGGATGATATCATGGAATTGTGATTTTGAGCAAGAGAGTTCATTGAGCTAGCAGGAAAACCGTTATTGCTGCGAGAAGGCATGTTCGTTAAACCCATTAAAGAGCCATTGTTGATTTCAGAGAGACGTGCCAATGAGCTGGTAGAAAAGCCATTGTTGTGAGAAATGTTGCTCAATGAACTGACAGAAGAACCGCTATTGTTATGAGAAGTGTTGAGTAAAGAGTCATTGGGGAGCGGCAGACCACCTGGAAATGTCATTGTCGGATTGTTCAATGGTCGTAAAGCTGTAGCCACGGCGCCCTTGCCAGAATCAAACGAACCAGCATGGATCATTGCAAGAGACGACCGATTACTAGTGATTGGTGTTGGGATTTGATATCTTGCCAGTTGAGTTTGCTGTGTGTTTTGTTGCAGACCTTGATTGCCAATTTGTCGAAGGACATCGTTAGCTTGCTCAAAGTTTCCGAGATCTTGCCCAGTCATTTGAAAGTCTTCGTCTATATTACCCCGGCTTGGTACGTCTTTTGCGGGAACGATGGCTTGTTGATCATTCCTTCTCGATTGCTCTTGCTGGTAGACTTCTTGAATCTTCGGCTTCAAAGCTCTCCAACCTCGTTCCGAGCCACCATCTCTGAAAATTCGAACGGCTGCTTTGAATGGCTTGGTGTTAATGATAAAGTCCTCTGGAATATCTGGGAGATCACGCTTCGCAAATGTGAGGAAGAGGGTTCTCCGGCTTTCGCGATTAGCATCATTCGGCTTGCGACCTTTGGCTCTCTTCTCACGGACTGCTGCTTCGATTTGTAAAACGAGTTGCATGACCTTGGCGTTCTCGGCCTTCTTTGCTTCGAAAAAGGCATCACGAACTTCTTCCAACTTCTCCATTTTCTCCTCCCAAATCTGGCGGGCGGTGGCTTTCTGCGCATCATTATGGGTAGGATCCTCACGATATGGATCGGGTGTGAGTGCTTCATATTCCTTTATGATGTTTTCGACGTCGGCAATCAAGTAGTATTTGTACAGTCGGTGCGTCGACGTTTGAATTGCTCCAGGGTCCCCTTCTTCGACGTAATCGTGAGGTTTACCAAAAGAATCGTACATGCTAACTGGAATGCACGCTAACAGTCTGTCAATGACAGGCAGGGAATACTGGAGTTGTCGATGTTTCTGGATACGATCTTCTCTCTCGATCTTTCCCTTCCAACAGTTGAGACACCACCTCTTTTTCCAAGCCCAGTGAGTTCTGCTAGCATCTTTGTTTTTGCAACCAGGTTCCATGCAACCTTTTCCTCCTAGAAGATCAACATACTGCATTGCAGATAGGCCTGGAATTTCGTCAGGCAAATTGTAACCATAGTTTTCTCTGCGGCAATTGATATGGATAGATTTCAATTCTTTAACCCATTTGTGCCAGCTGCGGCAGATAGTTCGAGCTTTTCGGAGAAAGATAGGAGGGCAAAACTCGAGAATGCGGATTACAACGTCGGCTGGTATTTCAAGTTCTTTCTTCTTTACCTTCACACAACAGTTAGATCTATTGCCACATGTATAAGTGAGTGGGCACACTTACTACCTCCAGTTTATTTGTCTTTTCAGCATTCTCCGCCTTTCCAGCAATCTTCAATAGCCTTGCCTTCTTCGCAGCGGCCTTCTGCTCTTCTGTTTGTACCTTGCGCTTCCTCGGATTGGTACCTTTAGTCATTTCTAAGTCCATGGGTGTTTCTGACCGACTTTGCGTACTCGATCGAGATTCTACAACCAGTAGGTTTTCAGTTTGTGGAGGTTTTTGCGCTGGAGCCAGAGTTGGTAAAGATGAACTGGACAAAGCTGAACTGCTCGAACTCGATCTTTCTAGGTTGGGAATGGGCCCTTGTCCACCGTAGCTCGAATAGGATTGATTTGCGAAAGTTCGAGAATCTTTTTGTAATCGAGCAATCATCTGCTGTTGAAAGTTGCTTCGATTTGAAGGGATTTGCGAGGCAAGGACTGAATCCGATCGGGAGAAGAGGTCATCCATATTTTGGGGGTACTTGATCGCAGGGTTATGGTGCTGCAGTTGAGGACGTAAAGGTTGATTCGAAGAGAGTGAATACGAATTATTGCTGGAGGGGAAAGTTTGTTGTTGAGTGTAGTTGTTTGTGTTCACTGCTCGTAATAAATTGGAAAGCTGTGGAAGTTCGGTTTGACTTTGAGTGACATTAAAGGAAGATTGTGGTCGATAATTGGAATTACTGAACGGCTGTTGTTGTATTGAATTTCCAGGACGAATATGAGAGTTGAGATTGCTCGTAGTCAAGGGTGAGAAGGCCATTTGATTCATTTGACCACCCATCGCGGACAATTGAGAAGTTGAACTAATGATATTTCCCGAATATGGAAGCTGAATAACATTATTGTCTATCATCAAGCCTGTGGGTGATTCTAAATCTCGCATGGTAAGAAGTGTATTATATGTCTCGTCACCAGAAAGTATTTGCTGAGCTGGGAAACTAATATTGTGACCTTCGAACGAAACACGAAGAGACTGTAATAACACTCCCTTGACAACCTCTCGAGCGATACCGAGCGACTCTTTGAAGGCAGCTTCGAGATCGATATCCGTATCGCCCGATGGGAGAGATGATATAGAAGGGACACTCATGTTATGATTGAGTGTGTACTTCGTTACAACAGACGGTTCATGCAGTAGGTATGGGTGAAATTGAATCGATGGTGTTGAAGATGTCGAATCGCTTTTTCCCCACCCGTAATCAATGTCAATGTGTAATGTTCATCCAAAGATTTCCCGGATCCGTACAATGATTTCTGCTGAAGGATGATTATATTTACTGGAAATCAAATGAGTTTTAGAGACGACAGGTGTGATTATTTGAAAGGAAAGCGTGATTTCGCCGATGTGTGGTTTGTCGTGGTGGATGGTGATGTTGTATGGTTGTTGTATGGTTTCTCGAATTCTTTTGAAGATGTGGGAGGAATTGAAGTTGGGGGAATTGTGAGATGAGATTCTTAAGGACCACCGTATTGAAAGTCTGGAGCTAAAATTGGTTGTGGTCGTAGTTGTTCAATTTTCGACTGCCCAGTGATTTTAGCCCGAAACCTTTTTTTTTCCCTTTCCTTTCTTGACCGATCCTCCGATCCTCAGCCTCGGTGCCACCACTCTTCCAAAATGTTCGACTGACTGATGGATTGACTGACTGATGGATTGACTGACTGATGGATTGACTGACTGACTGACTGACTAACTAACTAACTAACTAACTGACTGATGGAGCGATGGAGGGATAGACTGTACAGACAAGGCAAGCTCATCGATATCCGAGTCTATGTCTTTCGAAAGTCTTTACTATTGTAATGAATGTCGTTGGGAGGATAAACCAAAAACAGATGATTACAATCTCAAGAAAGATTGATTCATGGATTCGAATCGAAGATCGAGCTGAAAGGGGAAGAGAAGAGGGAGGAGAAAGGATTTGATTCCCCGTTTTCAAATGAGTCGTGAAATCGTCTTTGCTGTCTTTGCTTCAAGTTGTCTATTTGTAGGAGGAAAGAGAAGCCAAAGTTAATCCTTCTAATAAATTCTATAATAAATCAATCAATAAGAAAAATTGAAAAAATAGTAATATTAAATAAATCCTTGAATGATTTTCAATCATAAGAATCATTTAAACATGTAATTCTTTCAATTCGAATGGAACATTTGGATTATCGAAGGGCTTTGCCAGTGGTCAATTCCGGCCGGTGTTTTCTCCCACGTTAGAGGTTGTTTAACAAGGTTTTGGTATGTCGAAGAAAAGGTTACCCTTTGACGGGGTAAAAGTAGTAGATTTGTTTGCTCTTCCTTGGGGGTGTACGGGATAGGTAATCTACTATACCATGAGGTGGGCGGTTAGCTATCACAACAGGCGGTTGAGGGATTGAAATGGATGTATGGGTGGATGTGGATGTGTATGTGTAGGTATATCCTAAAAATTGATCATGATTATGATTTTGATGTTGCGTTGTGGTGTGGTGTGGTGTGTTGTGTCGTATTGTTTCGTAACCAAGGTTTCAAGGTTTATTAATCCGGAGAAAGACTCTCAAAATCAAATGCTTCATAAGATGGGTACTCTCTCTGTACGAGCAGAATGAGTGAGGATATCAACCGAACAGTAATAACATACCTTTCGGTCCATATGTGAATAGGAAAATATATCCAACAACCGATATTGAAGATGAAGGGGTAAATTTGTCCAAGAATCACCTGATGGGAGAATATGAAATGAGATGGTTCCTCGTGGTCAACACTACAATTATTAGTGAATCAAGTCAGAGTACGAGGCGAACGACTCAAACCAAGAATTTTAGAGCCACCCACTACCACCATTGAATCGAGAAAAAGGAGGGTATTGATAAGGTGTAAGACTTACGAAAGATGGAGGGTTGTTCGTTTGTGTGTCCGCTTGCTATCTTGATTGATCTATTTCTCGAAAATCCTAGTGATGGTTGTGACTGACTGGGAAATAATTGTTTCCTCGATCAAGTCTTTCGGATATTTGATATGTATAGATCCTCGTGATGTACCTGCAACAAGTATGAATTCATGAATCATATTCAAGAAGATACTTGCGTATATACTTGCGTACATACATTCATCCAACGCGTCAATACCTACCTACCTACCTACCTACCTACGGACCGACCGACCTGGGCATCCTACCCAAGATACGGAAGAACAAATCGGCTTTTGGGATATATCAGAACCAAGAATGTGACGAAGTGCTACGACCTAGATTCAAGCCAAGTACACGTTGAGTTGGAAAAAGAAGGTTTGTGAGATGAAGGAAAAGATGGAATACTTAGGTAAGTGCAAAAATATTCAATTAACTTTCCCGATGAGAAAATGGAGATATAGCTATCATTCTTTGGATATGTTGTTGTCGATACACTTAACACCAAAAGAAAAGAAGAGTTGAAAAAATTCAATCCACGACGCGTTTGTTTGCGCGTTCGACCTTCTCAACCTCCTCTCAAGACTTTTTTCATAGGTCACCTGTTCAGAAGACTGGTTGGCTACGAAAGAAGAACTGGTGGAAGAGATACCTTACTTAGCATTGATAGCCTCGTGAATGAGGCTTGTGATACGGGATTTCCGAGTATTCCGTCTTTACTCGCTTGGAGATGATGACCTTAACTTTACTCACACTGTGGACGGAAAAACTAGTATAAGGTTACTAAACTCGTCAAAATCAGCTCTTGTGAATAACTATACTATTCTTTTATAATCGAATAATAAATCAAATTATATCTTTAATTTCATTTGAAAAAGAGTTTTGAAGATATAGTATATTTTGGGTGTGCTAGTTTTTTCGTCCACGGTGTGCCACTTAGTTCACTAGGTCAACTCTGAATCCACAATACGGTATCGATATGCTGACTCTTTTCCAATAGTACATGCTGCTCCCCGAGTCACATTCCGAGTCTAATCAGTTCTGGCGAGATTCAAATCAAAAGCAGCGTCGAACAATTCTTGAACTTTCCTCTACGGTGTAGACAAGGTTTCTCCAACAATTACCTTGCTGGGAAGCTCGCCAACTTGGAGACAAGGCTAGATGGATTTGAAAACAACCTTGATGTAATGCAAGAGGCAAATGTTTACTTGCCTACCTACATAGGTAATGGTCTCGTACTCATCAGCAGCACTTCGGATCTACTACATTACACCCGTAGAAAACTCTCCTATCCACATTTCTTCAGATCATTATCAATTCCTCATCCCTCACCCTCATCCCACTCCCTCACCCTCATCCCACTCCCTCACCCTCATCCCTCACCCTCTCCATCACCCTCTCCATCACCCTCTCCCTCACCCAAAAATGGATGACTCCAATTTTTATATATCCGAGCTCAAGATCCAGACGCATTCCAAACCATGCTGCGTAATACAAACAAGCAGGAAAGCCTGTACTTCGTAGAATAAGGGAAGAACTCCTCCGATACCGGTTTTGGGGAACATGCTAAGCTCCCCCGCAAACACTTTAAATATTAGAATTCTCCACCCAATCCACTGTTTTCAAGAGTCACAACGTCAAGATACCCAGTCGGAATTCCTTGGACTATGGATCTCCAACTTCGAAGGAAGATCCCCATGTTAGCTACTTATCCTCCTTTTGTATTTGTACAACACTCGGTGAAGATTTTCAATGGTTTCTAGTTAGGAAGCGCGGGCATGAGCAAGAGTTACACCATTTTCAAATCTTACTTCAACGGAGAGTTTCCCCTGGTTTCTGCTACTGAGAGCTTATGAAAGACATTTAAAATGCTGACGTACAGAAGCAAAAGGCATCCCAGGTAATTGTACGAGTACAAGACAAGCTACAACTTATCACCCGTTACCCATTACCCGAGTCATATGGTATGGGCGTATGGATATAGTAAAACAGTGAATGGCAACACGACAAATCACAAAAAACATTCTCGCGAATCAAAAGAAAGATGACTCTTCCTCGGTCCCAATTGATTCAATGTGCCTCCGAATTTAATTGCGGGGATGAATAACCTCATCCCTTGTCCGCTTCTGCAGTAGGTGTCCGATCAATCACTAGTTGAATAAAGTATCCTGAGTCCGGAGTATGCACGCACGGTAAGCTTTGCTTTTGGTTGATTGAAAAGCAGCTCAATATCTCTTGAGATATTCTTTTTCGATTGTTCTCTTGTGCTTCTTACTCTTACTCATCTTTCACCGTTACGTTTTTGCCTTCTGGGGTGATATAAAGGTGTCTTGTCAATCGAGTGTGGCCTTTCGGCGGTAGTCGAGGAAAAGGAGTATCAAAATGGGTTTCTTTGGATCAAAAAATAGTGAGTACTAACTTGTTCTTTGCTAACCATTTATATCATCACCATTGTTATTCTATCACAATGGCTTCAGAGCTTCAGTATAGTTTACGGACTCAATGTCGAGATTTTTGTCTGGATATCTGATTGATCAAGTGATCTACCGTGGATACAATACAACATTTCAGCTCAGCTCAGCCCAACCCCAGAATTTTACGTTTTCCAAGATAAATCTAACTCGATCCAGAAGAAATGGGATCTTCCCCTCAACCTTCATTATCGGAGGATCAAGAAGCCGCCTATAAGGGAAATAATAGCTATGTACCAGATATTCCATCTGCGGAGGCTCAACCAGAATTCGATGAATTGCACGTGGTTTGTCCCCCGCATACAACGGAGGCCAAACTTATGCGAAAAATCGATTTACGTGTGATCCCATTTTTGTAAGTAGAGTATCTTATATATGCCAAAATCCGTTCTGACTGTATAATAGATGTATCTTGTATCTTTTGGCCTTTTTGGACAGAGTCAATATTGCCAATGCCAAATCATTCAAACTCTCAACAGATTTGAAATTAACCGGCACGCAATATAACACCGCCTTGACGATTTTCTTCGTCCCATATGTCTTCTTCGAGATTCCATCAAATATCCTCATGAAGCGTCTGAATCCAAACATTTGGCTTTCATCGCTCATGTTTCTTTTTGGTCTGGTAAGCATTTGTCAAGGACTCGTACAGAATTTCTCCGGTCTCCTCGCAACTCGCTTCTTCCTCGGTCTATTCGAAGCCGGTATGTTTCCAGGTTGTTTCTACCTCATTGGTATGTGGTACAAACGATCCGAAGCCCAACGTCGCTACTCGTTCTTCTTCAGTAGTACCACGTTAGCTGGTGCATTTGGAGGTCTTCTTGCTTCTGGCATTGGAAAAATGGACGGATTAAGAGGATATTCTGGTTGGCGTTGGATTTTTATCATTGAAGGAGTCCTTACCTGCGTGGTCGCTCTATCCTTCTTCTTCCTCATTCCTTCATTTCCAGAAGATGCAAAATGGCTCACTCCAGACGAAAGAGCATACGTAAAAGCCCGTCTCCAAGTAGACCAGGGAAGAAGCGCGGCAGAACGTAAAATCACTTTCAAAGATGCATGCAGGGTCTTCAAAGACTACAAAGTCATTCTAGGAGGCTTCATGTATTTCGGCATGATCATCCCAGCCTACGGATACGCATTTTTCGCCCCCGGTATCATCTCCACCTATGGTTACTCCCCAATCCAAACACAACTCCACAGTGTACCTCCATGGGCGTGCGCATTCGCATTCGCTATGTGCATTGCTTTCGCGTCGGATTTTACACGTCATCGATTCGCATTCACCATCGCGCCGATTTGCGTAGCAATCACAGGTTTCGCTATCCTTCTCACCGTTCACGACAATACAAAACTTCAATACGCCGCACTGTTCCTCGTAGCTATGGGTGCTTACTCCGCCATGCCGGTTATTGTCTGTTGGTTCAACATGAATCTTGGCGGTCATCACCGTCGTAGCGTAGGCACGGCCTGGCAAGTCGGATTCGGTAATATAGGAGGAATTATCGCTACCTATGCGTTCCTTGCAAAAGATGCCCCGGAGTACAGAATGGGATATGGAATTTGTCTCGGCTTTTTGTGTTTGAGCGCGATGTCGTGTTTGCTTTATTTCATGGCGGTTATGTTTGAGAATCGTCAGAGAGAGAGGAGACCTAGGGATTTGGGACTCACAGAGTATGAGAAGATGGAGTTGGGAGATTTGAGCCCGGATTATAGGTATTTGCTGTGAGGGGGAGCTGGGTAGTTATCATGATGATGATGATGATGAGGGGGGTTGGGAAAATGAAAATGAGGTCAAAAATGGAAAAGTGGTTAATGGGCAATGTAATGAATTGAAAGGATATGATATGATATGAAAGTATACGAATCGGCATGTATGGCACAGAACGATCGATACTAAAAGTTAATGGCTGGGAAAACTTGGGTGTAGTTTAGTATGAGCGGAGGGGAGGCGGAGGGGAGGCGGAGGGGCGCCTAGTAAATTATAGGTCGATGATTAATGAAATGATTACAGCGTCCCTTTATATCTATTGACTTTTATATGCACGTCAAGACTCGTTCCTCTCTCTTTTCTCTCTCTTTCGAAAAATGGGAATGTGAAAGGAGGAGTTGCATATATGTCTAATCCTCGGGAGTTTGTATGTATACCTCCGAGCTTCTAGAGTCTCGGAGTTTAGGATTACCAAGAGAAAGATGGGAGAGGGTAGGAGGATGAGGAAAGACGGGGAAGAGCGAGAGAGGAAAGGGTGGCAAAGAGAATTTGTGGAAGAGAGGTGGATTGGAGTGGATATTCCGGGGTTGAGAGGCGAGGGAGGGAGATGAGAGGGCAGCAGAATTGAGAGGACCACTAGTGAGTGCATGGCGTGACAGGAGACTTCTCGATTTCCAATAAATTGATTCTGTGCTTGTTTGATATCAAATTCCATATTCTAATTGTTCCATTGCGAATGAAGGATTGTAGGATATTCTAAGATATATGAATAGATATAGTTATCAAGATATATTCACATGTTGGTTGTTTGTATTGTCCTGCCTGTTAGTTTGTACACCTACTAATAGTCGGCTCTTATAAGCGGCCTCTTAATTCCTAATCGGGAAAGCAATTGTTCTCGAAAAGTGTTTATCCCGTTATTTTTTTTGTAGGTAATTTATTTGATTCCTAGAATGAAATCTTCAATTTATTATTATTGAATTATTACAATTTCTTTCAATTCAGCGATATCTTTTGAACAGAAACAACCGCTTTTCTTGATGAGGAACTAGAAGGTTGTTTACAAGAGTCGACTTTTATATCCGATTTCATAACTAGCTTTAAAAACATGACTTTTCTATACCTCATCAAAAACATATAAATATTATATTTTTATTATTTATTCTATAATAACTTTATTAATCTAGTATTAATTTCAATAAAAATAATATTTTATAATAAATAATAATTAAATTTATTATATATGATACGCTAATACTAGCGCACCAGAGTACCTAGGTACATATAAATAGCTTCTACATAGTATAATAAGAACTTCGTCCTTCTTTCACACTACAACCCTAACAATATACTTAATTTTCAATTAATCTAGAATTATGTTGTTTGAAATAAAAATTTGAGAATGAAAATCTAAAAATTAAAGGATTTTTTTGAAAGTTAGTAATGAAAAGCTTCAAAATATTATATTATTTTAAAATTATTATTATTTTATTTGTATTATTTCAAATCAATTCAAATTTAAAAGATTGATTCAATGAAATGATAGCTTTTATTCGATATAGGAATTTTTGATTTTGAAGCTATATTGATAAAGTAAGGACTTTATAATTAATTAATTTCAACTAAAAGGTTGTGAGACCATGAAATGACGTTTTGAAAGCTAGTTATGAAATCGAGTGTACCCCCTAAGTCGACCACCCTATTTTCGAGTCACCTTTCTTTTGAGCTAAGTCGGGTACCCTACTTTCGGGCCACCCCCCTTTTGGGCCACTTTTTACACCAAAAATGGAATTTTTAACTTTCTTATTTATAAATAGAATTTATTGAAAATTTATATATATATAGTTCAGATCGTTTTGAATCTAATCTGAAATTTTTAAATTTTTAAGATTTTTTCGTATTGAAATCTAGAGCTTCAAAATATCGATTTTTAAATTTGTATGAGAATTACATACAAATTTAAAACTTTTATAAAACCTTTAATAACTTTTTAATAAAAATTGCTAAAAATAAACTAAAAAGTTTTATTGTAAGTTTATAGTATATTTACTTTAAAAGATTAAAAAATAAATAAAAAACTTCTTGTAAATAAATATTTAAAAGAATACCCTCAAAATTACAGGGATTATTTATACTACTCTAAACTCACTGTATACTATATCTCTATATCTGTTAATTTTTTTAATTTTTTTTTGAATTTCTATATAAATTTAAACTTAAAACTTTCAAAAAAATATATAGTTTTCTTTTAATAATAATTATTAAAACAATTATTAAAGATTTTATAAAAGTTCTAAATTTGTATATGATTTTTATATAAATTAAAAAATCGATATTTTAAAGTTTTAGATTTTAATACAAAAAAATCCTAAAAATCTAAAATTTTCAGATTAGATTCAAAACAATCTGAATTATATATATACAAATTTTCAACAAATTCTATCCATAAATAAGAAAGTTAAAAATTTCATTTTTTGAGATTTTTAATGATAAAGAGTGGCTCAAAACAGAAGTGGTCCGAAAGTAGGGTATCCGATTTAGTAGTTGATTAGTACTATAGATTTAATAATGAAGTTCTTAAGACAGGAACTAGCCAAGACTAAGAATCTACAATCTCGATTTGGAGGTTTAGAGCGAGATTTTGAATAGAGGGAAACTGCCTCGAGATACTTTAAAATGTATTTTGATGTTACAAAGTCGATGAAAGCAAATACCGAGAGAATCGGAGAGAGCAACAATCTTGAATGACATTGATCTGAAATACAGCAGATTGTATAAGTCACTGCTGTACCGTCTAGACAACGCAAGGGTCTTGATGCGATGTGTCATCCAGCTCGTTTCTAAGACGAGAGCAAAATATAAAGGCTTCGTTTTGCTGAATTTAGTCACACGATATTGGCCTAATTTCTCCGCGTGGATACCACGTAGGTAATAAGACGGTCTATAATATATCTATTTAGACAATATGTAAATATACAGCCAGTTAGCGTCATACTCTCGTCATTATGTACACGGGGGTCTTCTTCTTCTATAGGTCCGAAATATAGAGCGCTTAATCTTCGCATGGGTTTAGTTCCATGTATAACAATTCAAATGCTATTACTGACGATAGTGGATGAAAATAACAGTCAGAACCACCTCTGTGGCTAGCTACTGCCTTGACTATACTCATAAGTCTCTTCTACCGAGCCTCTTCTATATCATTCTACCAAACATCCTCTCTTTGTATTTCCTATCCTCAACTCTATCTGCCTTCTCAGATCATACATGTGTCCTACCTTGTCTTGTCCTTGTACGAGTAGAATAATTACGGTATGTTTACAAATTGAGTCTTTAATTAATATAGAGTATCAAATTGAAAGGTGTAGAAAAGCTCTCTCAGATACCTTCAAGCCTACTTCTTCCTTATCCGAATTTCTCCTTGACCACGCTCGAATCTAACAATCCTTTTAAAATATGGATTTATATTTCCTGCCTCATCGCTGAGTTGAACCAACCTATTCTTCCAATCAAATTGGGAATATGAGGGGTGAGATAAGATATCTGGAATGTGTCTTTACGCGCCGTGACTAATTTGAGAAACCGAAGTGAACTTCTATGCTTGAAAAGATCAGACGAGATAGGGGGGTCCAATGATCTCGCTTCCTTTGTAGCGTGTAAAATCCTGGATACAAACAAAACTTTTCAAATTTCGATTTTAATCCCCAACCTTTGCTTTCCGAAAATTGCGAAACACGCGCCAACATATTATTGGAGTCCTCTATCAACAATATCTACATAGAAATGGTGGAAAAGAACACGGAGGTAAAAGATAAAGACATAAAAGGTAAGGATACAAAGGATGCGCGGAGGGAGAAAACTGGTAAAAAGAAGGCGCAAAGAACGAGAAATTCCTCACCTCCACCATTACCACCACGAACAATCCCTAAGCCCGAAGATGGAGATGTCTATAAAATATGTCTAATGTTCCTACCACAGATGCAGAGAATTGTCGAAACCGGAATAGTTCCTTGCGACGGAATTGTCCAGCAAACGCTGCATGGGTTTTTATGTGGACATGGCATAGTACCTGTACTTAGAGAATTGGCTTCAAAAGACAATTCTAAGCCAGGTAAAAGACCTCATCCGAAGAATACTGGATCTACGAAACTTACAACTGCTCTTGTGGAGCTTTTCAACGAAAATGCGCTTCTGGGAGAGGGAATAGACTTTTGCCACAGTCTTCGGGATCCGGAAAAGGAGAAAGCTATGCGCATTGAATTTATTCCAGGGTAAGTCTACCATAACTTGTGGTTCAGAAGCTTAACACAGAAATCTACGGAAAAGAACTGACACTTGAGTTCAGCAGCAGTAACGTTCCGGTTCAACTGCCTCTAAAAGAAAGAGATGTCTTCTTCATGGAAAGCCACGAAACAGATGATCGGCCATATCTTACGCAGAATCATTTTCCAGATCGCATCAGAATTCCTGAAGATGTCTTACTTAAAGCTTGTCCTTTCATCCGCTCGGCATTCGGTGCGAAAGATATCGGCAAATTCACCGACCCTAATGATGCTTGCTTGTACGACCCCGCGTACACATCGAACCGAAAGAGATGCATTCGTCAAACCAAACTCGTATATATCACCGATCTGATCGCTTCATCCTATGGGCGTACCGCACAGCATTATCATTCCTTGGGCGATTTAAAACAGATTGATAGCTGGCCAAGAGAGAAATTGTGGAAGCATACTAAGTCGTGGGTTATGTTTTTAAGAAAGAATGACTTCAGTGAGCGCATATCCTCCAATGACGAGCTCAATGAGCTATGTATGCTTGCCGCTTTTCTTGGGGCTAAAAATAATGCAACCACCGCTTTGAGGAATGTGTACCAGGCACAGAAGGAAAGGTTGATCAGAGAGAAGACGCATCCCAGACCTGCATTGCTACCGCAAGTAAAGCCTGAGAGAAAGAAATTGTCCCCCGAGAGAGATGTTCGACAGAGCGACTATGTCACGAATGAACCATGTAATGATATGGTCGGTACTACCGGTTGGCGTAGTCGAGATGACTGATTTCAAGTCTCTGTTGGGTTATGTTATTGTTGTAACTATTTTGGCATGATGATGTTAGGTTTGGGGCGTAGTTCTTGGGATATCTTGCATCATAAGTCAACGTTGAGCTGATGGCTTAAAGAGGTTCAATGGGTCTGTGGTTTGGTCAATACATTGGGGAACTCAAGGGGCAGTATCATGTTTGGTCGTTTCTGGGGTATGCGAAAGGTATTAATTACGAAAGACCGTTGAGGAGAATTTAATATCTCGTTGGGCGTTGGGGCATAAAGAGAAATGGAAGATACCAAAGATTGCTGGAAAGAGCTAAAGTTGGCTGGGCTTTGAGACATGGACAAATTGAAGGGCAACAGAGAGCGTAGAGAGGGTTTGGAATACTCAATCTCTACGAAAGCAATGAAAGGACTGGAGAGCTTGATGTTTTGTCAAGGAAACGTCCAGTTGTTTAGTTTTGATGAGGCATTGAAAAGTAGTTTTAGGGGTTTGCATCAATGCCTCCTGGATCATAGACATTAGGATAAAAGGGATCAAAGTTCTCTTACCGAAACAATCCTTATGAGCAATGAACCCACAACAGAAGACTTTGATCTTAAGAGGAAAGGCCATGGCAGCTTTAAAGTAAATCCATTTTTCATATCAACCTTAGATTCGTCGCTGTTGCTCGGTCGACCCACCATTTCTGACAATAGCTTCGGGTAATCATGGAGACACCGTGGCAGTGGGAATAACCATAAGTTCACGTAGTATCATGCCATATGCAACCATTGAATCGGATTTTCATCAAGATGGCGAGGATGGCTGGTCGTTCTGATAATGGATATGGTTCCGAATGATGGGCTCTCATGATTGGCGGAGTTGACCTGCTTTGTCAGCCCCGCCGCGGACCTACATACTCTGTAATTTGCGCCTCTTTCATTTCGTGCCTTGCAGATCTCTTCAACCTCGGGCCTCTTGAATTGTCTCTTATTGTTCTACTGAATCCTTCGCAATCAATTGACATTTACGTATGTATGGTGGACCATTGCGATAGGTCATTGTACCATCAGGCATCGCACCATTGTTCTACCCCTAATGTACATCCGGTCAGAGTATAATCCATAACCTCACATCTACACCACAAAACTTCGGATCATCGGAGTTACTTCCTACGGTGTCTGTTCCTTGTCAATGAAAGGACTGCGTTTCTCCGTTGCAGAAGATTTATATCTACAATCATAATTGTGCCTTAACCTACCTCGTATCTGGTACTCGGCAAGGAGCGGGGCTGAAAAATCTCGATGTATCTTAATCCTCCCACTCTACAGATTCAATTTTCATATGCGAAGTTCGCTGTCATGGGTATTTCACTCGCGTCGCTGTTAGTCGCGCAGGGGCAGCAAGGTTGCCTAAAATTTCATCAAGTATTTAAGAAGATGAACCCATCGCAAACATCACCTGTCATCTCAAGATTTGTCTTCTTTCGTTTTCATAACTTGGTTTTCTTAGTTGAATTCAAATATGTTGTTCTCTGCAATTTCGATTTTACTGCTCACAACACCCGCTCTTGGGCAAACCCTCAATGCCTGGAGACAAACCGTCTACGGAGAAGGATGCTGCAGTTACGCGGTAGATGGGAATGTAACAACTTACGATGAAATTGACTCTTTGCCAAAACGTCTTTCTCTTTTACTCAACTTTCCAGCTGCATATCTTGGTTTTTATATTCAGTCCTCCGGTTCTTACATTACCGACTACTATGTTGAAGCTGTCGAGTCAACCACGGTCAAAAAGATTATTGTTGGAAAGGTTTCTGGCGCTACCTCCAACCTTACTGTCGTCAATTTTTATGACTCTGCTGGCACAGCTCCAATCTCCACAGAAACGTTGTATCTCCATATCACTGGAGTATCTGATGGAGGTAGTGAGACATTTGTCAACGAGATATATCCCATCTACTCCGGCGATACCATCGTATACCCCTCCGGACAATCCGCTCAACCCTCACCAACCCAAACTAATGTAATCCCAACACCAACTTCAACCATTTTCCCCACACCTACAGCTCCAGGTATAACCCTCAACGCCTGGCCCACCATCACCGCCACCATGCCTTTTGTCCAGGACCGCACATCCTCGTACATCGATGGCAATCCATCCACCGGCTTAGTCGCCTCACAATATTACCTTCTTTTCAATACTGCAAGCACATACGAGGGATTTTACATCTTATCTCAATCACCAGATTTCATCACCGATTACTATGTCATTGCACATAACCCTATCACGTACAAGCAATTTGAAGTTTGTCGCGTTACGAATGCTAAGTCAAATTTCACTCTTTGTGCATTTTTGGATGAGGATGGGAACCCAGGCTATAGGAGTGCGACGATTAATATCTATCAGGATGGTGCGGGGCAAGGGAAGCTTAATGAGGTCTATCCTATCTGGCCAGGTGATATGCTTGTGGACCCCAATGCTTGATTTTAGGATAACTAATAATATGATGATGTCAATGAGTATTCTTCGAGTTAGACTTCTGGAAAAGAACTCCGGGAAGGAGGGGATTCAAGACTCAGATATTTCCGTACCACAAAAATCAATAAACAATGTCAGCTATCAAGAGTTCTCTATATCCAATTTCTTTCTTGAATACCAGTATATCCCAAAACCTGAGCTTCCACCTTGCTCTAGATATTAAAATTCTTCACACTTCCCACACTTCGGGTGAACGAAGCAATCAGAACTCAAAGCCTTTCGTCAACTACCCGTGGACCAGTTCCACATAGCCATAAAATCACACACCAGTCCCCATGTCACGCACCCGCTCAAGCTAAAACTTCCCTTTCCTGAAAGTTTCACTCATCCCCCTAGCCACTCTATGAAGGTGACTATTGAAAGCGATCCGAGATAGATTCAAGATCATGTAATGACTCATTCATGAACCAACGTTTTTGTAATCAATCATGTACACCAGAAGTAAATACAAGCTCAAGAAACTTTTACTTTCATTCCATAAATTCAAACCCACTGTACTCTGGCCCTCATTTCCCTTTAAATGTGTACATCTACCTCTCCCTAACACACCGATCGATCTCTAGATAATGATTGATTGGTGTCCACGGAATTCGTGCGTAGACTCGGGTGTGTGATATCTTTGCAGAGCAAGTAAGCTAACATTGTTCCTTTATATTCAGAATTTAGAATGGTATCAAAAATTAATCATCGGTTAGAATTTTGAAATGTATGTGCAGATCTTCGAGTTTGGGCTTGATGCGAGTGAGGGCGAAAGTAAGGGTGAGGGTGGGATTGAATTGCGGGATGATATTTTCTCTATTGCATGTGGATATCTATTTCTGTAAAACAAGGCGTTTAGCATGCTTTTACCTCTTAGGCTCCTGATTCCTGACGCAGTTCTCTTTGAGTTGTCGTTGAAGGAAGAGTGCGGCACATTTCACAAAGGGCCAGAAACCGAAGTCAACTAAGAACGTGCCTAGATTGTCTAAATGAATGAATGTATGTTGAAGTATTTGATGCAACATGACCGGTCTAAAAATACCTGTTGTTGATATGATAAAACAATGCAATGCATGGTGATCTCGTTGGTAGATAGGGCTAATGATAGAGCAAGGGCAAGATGACCTGTATGATATCAAAAATGGTACATTCGAAACACTACATAATTCTCTTCCCGTCGCTCAATAATGAAAGGCCTTGCATGAACGCGCATACTTGCAATAAATAGTGTGCGATGACTGAGTCCCAAATACAAAGCTCACATGACTTTTTTTTACAACTCGCCAAATAGTATTAGTACCAATATTCACTCGGCTACCAAACCTACGATAAGTATTCTAAGTAGGCAATTATCTCCAACATAAATCCACGGTGGGTGGTTCGGTGGTTGAAGCCATCGCTCCGAGAAGCAAAACCTTGTTAGAATCAGAGATAATAGCTGTCATGAGACATTCTACGGATTTTTTTTGGAAGGTTTTTTAATTTTTTTGTGGGTCTCACTTCGTGTTGTGTGGTCTTTCGCAACTTCACTTGACGACATTGTGCGCGACCACAGGTTCTTTTACTTCGTGGAAAGGTCATCCAACCATAGGTACACAAAAGTTGTAGGTTGCAAGATTTTACTTATTGTTTATTAAAGGTTTAAAAGACTTGAACATTCACTCTTCTACTATGTACATGACAAATATTTCAATTGAGCAAGCATGTACAACAGGAGCTACGATGAGCAGTGTGATGGCTAACACCTTAATCCATGGCGAGCTCGTTAGTATCAGAGATGATAGCTGTCGCACATCACTCCAAGTGCTCTTACTTAGGCTCTTTTTCCCTTCGAACTTCTGTGAGACTTGGTTTATCTTTGAGTCAAGCCTGATGATAGCTTATGCGACAACTATCTTGACTCCACGTTTTGTTTGGCATTCCACTTTTTTAAAGGGTATTGGAGTGGAGCAAGAGCTTTGGACAGTGAATTATATATAGGTTTCTAATATTCTCTTTCGCCTTTAGTTGGAACGTGCTGAAGATATGTTATGCAGTTTGGAGCATGTTAGTAGTCATGGAACAGAGGAGAGGATGTATTGCAAAAGGAAGTCATTTTATTCTCATTAATAAGTTTTGTCGTATTTGTTGATCTGGCTTGAAACATCTGAGAGCCTGATTGTGGATGGATAAACAAAACTTGTATGGGATATTCACAATATTCATAGTGTTAGCCAGGTGATTGGGACTTACTGATATAGCCTATGATTCAGTCGACGATGTCTTCACATGTACAGAGCAATATTCACGCTATTAGACTGGATTTTAGAAATAAACAATAAATTTTCACAGAGACAAAGCAACACGCCTTTATGGGTGAGGTAAAAAAAGCCAGTATCGAGCAAACTCCCGCAAAACCCCTCCAATAAAACACCTGATGTTAAAGCAATCATCATTCCTACATGCATCTTTCTCTATCCTGCTCACCCCTTCTTTCACCAAGGGTAATTTATCTTCTTTGACTGTTATCATGAATGAAGGACGTCCTAAATAAATTACTCTTAATGTGATAGAGAGTAAGTCCCCGACCCTCCACCTATAATAGTCATAAGCATCTCAGTTTTCTCCTCGATAGAATCTCAACATCCTGGTCACGAAAGACAAGACTAACGATCAGCATCAGGTTTCTCCATCTTGACCTTCTTGCCAGAGAGTCTTGAAGGACCTGCAGCAGAACTAGTGCTACTATCAGCGGTGGCAGGTCGCTTTTGAGTCACTGCTGGAACAGCGGCAGAGCTATCCGAACTTGCAGAGCTGGGCACTGGGACGCGTTGTGGGCGTTGTGTGATTGTTGAGTTCCGGCGGCGACGGAGATTTGGTTGTGATGGTCTAGATCGTCCCATGGTAGCGCCTGGTCCTGGACGCGGCTGTATATTACCTTGAGTGTTGCCATTTTGTTGTTGACCGTTATTCTGGGGACCTGAAGTAGCAGCGACATTGGAGCTACCTGCCTGAACAGCGTTAGCACCACTTGTCTGAACGGCGTTAGGACCACCTGCTTGAACAGCGTTAGGCATGGCAGAAGATACCATGCGATTTGCTCTGCGTAGGCTGTGGGCGAATGCCGGGCTTGAAACCATGAGGGTGCTGACCATTCTGCCTGCGTTAGGATCAGCGGCGGGCATGGGCGCATAAGGCTGGTTAAAAGCAGAATTTGTGTTGTCAGACCCACTTGATTGGTCATTGCTAATATCTAAACCTCTAGCAGCTACAGACACACCTGTTGCTAGTCTAGCACCTGTTCGAGTATTTGTAGCTCCACGAGTAGGGTTGTTACCAGGATTTCCGATGATAGATGCATGACCAACAATACTAGTATCTGCACCGACGGGATTTTGTTGAGGGGGAGCAAGTTGATGAGCGGACTGAAGAGCTGCAGCTGGCACTGCGATAACCTGAACTGGTTGATTACCAGGTGGCAGTGGTCGTGGTAATCTATAGCGCATAAGCTCTAGAAAGCCATCACGATCCGTCGTGCGTGGTTGACCTAAAAATTCAGTCAGTCATAACTACTAAGGAGACCAATGGCTCAGTGATACATACCTCTCATATCTCTCAACATGTTATTCATGCAGCATTTGTATTGCCAGATGTGGTACACCTGATGGAAAATCTCGCTGATAAATTGGTTAGGCTCTCCACCCTTCAAATCGGCTTCAATTTCTTGCCAAATGATCTGAGCTCTACCGAGAACATCTTCTGCAGTAAAATTTAGCTCTTGGCTCGGATCATGAACGAAGGTCAAGAAACCCATTGGACCAGGTCTAGGGCGGGAGAAGATCCAACGCTTGAAGAAAGCATGATTTTGGACGATCTTGAATAGTTGTCCCCAAAGTGCAGGAACCAAGTTGACACTAAGCAGATTAAAAGATTGAAGCTCATTGATGATTCCTCGTACCCAAGCGAAAATTCCTCGGCGCTCCATAACTCCGATTTCTACAACGGCATGGTTACGAGACAAGGGTGGCTTTTGAGGCGTGTCAAAGGAACCGCATAATTCATCGGCACGAATATGAATAGGACAATTTGGTTTTAAGGATATTCTAAACGCTAATTCTAGTTGGGTAGCTGCGTTAGGCATGCCAGGTTGGTGGTTTGCGTTGGCCATGATGATTTCGATAATAAAGCTCGAATTTAAATGGATAAAGTATTGTGTTGAAAATGTTGATTTTCTTGATGAATTTAGTGAAGAAGTAAGTTATTCAGGTAATTGATGAGATTATTATGTCGAGAATGGTAAGAAAGAAAGACTCACGATGGAGAAACTGGGCGCTTATGAGCAAATTGAGGAATCCCAGTGCAGAGCCGTAAGTTCAGGATTAGCATTCAGAGCACTCTACATCAGCTGTACTATAACTTTACCGTAAGTTACAGTGCCGAACTGTAGATCTAGCCTCTTAATTCGACACACTTGATCTTAAAAAGTGATGAAAATATACGTGTCACTGTCTTGATGGCCGTATACTTTCCATCGAACTACGGCTCTTCAACATTTGAGAATCTTCTATGAACCTTTGATTAATTTTAACATAGCTCCAATAATGAAGAAAGAACAATGCAGAGGCAGCCGTATAGAAGCAAAATAAAACAAAAGAATAAAGGTAGATGAATTAGGATCGATCTCTAATAATATCTATCAAGATATCAATGACGAAAGAAATAAGTCTAAGAAGGTGTAGTCTAATACATAATAATGAAGTATAACTGTGAATGATGTCCACCTCAAAGTGTACATGACATCATCTTCCGTGATTTAAGCGAAGTTATCGTGTGCATTCTCATGGTCAAGCAAAGACCAGGATCATGTTAAAGAATCATGATGATGCAAGGTTATCGGATCTTATGAAGACGTCTACGGATTGTAGGGCAGTTTGTTTTTCTGGGATTAGAATAAATGAAATCTTGTCATGCATCAATTAGAATAATCAAAGTAGAACCACCAACATTTGAGATGAGTGGAATCCATTCAACTCTGAGGTCAGAGAAACTTCAAATATCCGAACTAGATAGAGGCCGACACTTTTCGAAATAATCAAATAAGGTTTGGGAACTCAAGGTATTGGGTCATCAAGCCTCCGCCTGGACTACTTGACAACTAATTGTCCCCATGGCCAACCACCAGCACCAACTCAGACCTACAATAACCCTAACACAGTGAGACAACAACAAGAAATCCGATTAGACAGATGAATTAAAAAAAATTGCATCAATAATATCTCAATATAATGATCTAATCTGCGATTTCAATAAATTTATTATGATAGTGTTGACTGTGTAGTTATCGGTAGTCGAAATTCTCGAAAAATACATCGTTGAGGTTACAAAAATTTAGGAGGATTCATGGTAATTTACCTAACTAGTTTACGATTTTATCAAAGTCAGAGATGTGAGACTTTATAAAAAGAACTGTACTTCAATAATATATTATTTAAAATTGATCATGAGGTTGAGCCGCTATCTAGAGCTATTACCTGCACTAAAATGTACCATGATATATTGTATAGTTAATTCAACTGTGTCAGAGTTAGTGCTATCGAGCACCTAGGGTAGTCGGTAGAGTTTTTCTAATAGTCAGTTAGTTTTAGAAATCCTTGCTAAAGTGCTTGAGTTTCGGACCGGACGTTTCTCTGATTTCATGCACACGGACACGATGTATGTGTACAATTGATTCTGTGTATCACACAAGAGCATTTGAAAACTTTACTGCTACCAATTGATTGTAGGAAACTGACAACTAGAACTAGAAACAATTGTGGACATAAGTTCGCTCTGAAATAATGAAATCCTCTGAAGTAATGGAACCTCTGAATGGATGAAACCCTCCGAATGAGTGAAAACCTCTGAATGGATGAGAACCAGCGGATGGATTTTCTTGACTTGAATGCCTAAGAAGGATCCGCCGGTCGAACCGCCAGACTACCAATACACGCGTCATTTATAGATGACAATAGACGCTATAATAACACTGCCTGACCTAACCCATTAGATTTCTTTGACTACCCGCCCCTTTTTTTCCCGTCTGGCTTCCGATCCCAGAAGCGCACAGTGACTGCCCAGTACATATCTCTCCGAGATTATCTTATGCTAAAAGGACGATAGAGCGATCTGGACTTGTTGACCTTCGCAGGAAGTGGCTTATCATTTACAGGTTTGTCCAAGGCGAGTGTATCTCCCGAAGCATCCTCGCTAACAGTGTCCTCTACAATCGGTGCATCGGCCGTCGGTTTATCACCAGAATAGTCTTCGCTGATAGTTTTCTCGATGATAGATTTGGCACTAACCGGCTCTTCGTTGATAGAATATTGGTCTATAGGTTTGCTAGCGATGAAGCTTTCGTCAAGAGCTTTCTCGCCCGCAGACTTTTCACCGCCAGTTATGTCGCCAATTTGCGCATCGCCAACAGCTTTATTTCCTACCATTTCACCTTCGACGGACTTTTGAATCACTCCCAAGCCTGTAGAGCTATTAAGGTTGCTTGCCCGGTACTGTTTGAGGAAGTTTGTGTAAGGAGAAGCATGATCTGTTGAGGAAGTTGCAGGCTTGTTGCTAATCTTCGGCTTCTTGTTTTGACTGTTCGGAATATTGTTGTGAGCATCGCTAATAGGTTCGGACCTTTTCGCATTGAATTTTTGAAAGCGATTTGCATTTTCGTCTTGCTTCAGATTGACAGAACTGAACCTAGTCTCCTTGTCTCTTCCGATATTGTTAACCTTCTTATTGCGCTGATTGCCATTCGTAGAAGTGGATTTGTTTCTGTTTGGTATGCTCAGATTATTCTCCTTGACATTGGCTTTCTCATTACTAGTATTAGTGGCTCTTTTTTGATTTTTTCCTCCGGTAATATCGCGCTCCTGTTTGGCTGATCTTCGATGAGAAGCTTCGCTTCTGACTTTACTTGCTTCTGCAAAGTATTCTTCGCGTTGATTGTTAGGACTATTAATAGGTGCCCAAGTGACCGGAAAGCTAGAGTGCACAAATGTGTCTCGGCTGTGTACAAAAGGTATTCTTGCCGAAGAAGAACGTTCGATTTGAATTTCTTCCTCAGGAGACATGACGGGAGAACTCAAATGGCGGCCCTGATCTCTCGACCTGAGGCTTTCGACAGGTGTAGTTATCGATTCCGGTGACGGCATATCTAAGATTAAAATTATATCGTTTTCTGTGGTACTGACAAAGTTCCTGGTGTCAGAGGAATGATTCTTGGTCTTGGTGCGTGCTATACCGCTGTAAGATTGTGCCAATTCATGAGAAGTCGCCAAATTTTGTCCATGGTTGTCTCGACCACTCAAAGCTGGCTCGACAGCTGGTATCCTAGCTATAGGAAATTTGGATCCACCACCAAATCCCTGAGCTCTATTCGGGTACCTGTCATCTCGGCTCTGTGGTGCAGGTAGAATGAAGCCCATAGGAACTTGAGAGGCCTGTGAATATTCTATACCATCGTTATACTTATCACTCGCCATGTTGCAAATATTGCGCGATGGCTTATCACGAGCAGTGGGTGGTTGGTACTGTACACCGGGGTGTAAGCTAGGCAGCTGCTTACCTTTGACTGATAGGGTGACTGGCATTGAAGAATGAGGTTGCTCCTGAACTGATTGAGAATATTTAGGTAGTTGCAGATGGCCCGTCTTCGGTTGCAGTATAGATGGAATCCCGGACGAATATGTTCGACTTGGCTGCATAATATTGTTGCTTGAGTTTCCTCGTCTTGTGTTGTATCCTGCGGGAAAAGGTTCTATAATTCTCGGATTGTTCCTGCTCGTAGGCGCTATGGGACGGGGAAAGTGACTACCCAATGGCATGGTTCTCGTCTCTGGGATTTGCATTATATTTGCACGATCGATGTTGCCAATTCTAGCATAGTTTGCCGCTTCTGCCATTGTTTCCATGCCTGGAAGGACAGGCAGACCTGTTGATAGTTGTCGTTAGTATGTGGATTAAATGGAAAATAGATATGCACTTACCTCGGGTATAGCGGGCTTGATTGACTAAATTGTTCTTGATGTTCCAAAACCACCCAAGATGATCAATCATCTGATCAATAAACGTGCCATCTTTTTCTAGCCTTAATTCCCACTCAAGATCGGTCCAGACTTTATGCGCCGAGGTAAAAATATCATTTGGTGTCCAAGGTTGCTGGATAGGACGTTGGGTATGATTCGCATGAACTCTTGGACGTGTGGACACCCATGAATAGAATTGAACGACATTCTGGTACACACGAAACAGATCATCTGCGGCCTTCTCGTTGCCTGGATTCAAAATACCGATTCTTTGAAGTTCATCAATAATATCATGGGCCCAAGAAGTGATGCTATGACGATTCATCGATGGAAGATCGTTCTTGGATCGCGCAAATGGGTTCAACATATTGTAGTTTCTCGATTCTTGGATTTTGATGTACAAAGTCTCGAAATATTGTTGTTTTTGTGAAGAATACGTCGTTACTGTCTCGACTTTAAATCGTTTCTGTGTATCCCGTTCAATGTATGCGGCTAGTGTACCGCCAGATCAAATCTTTGAACCAATATGAAAATTTTGACTTCAAACAGAGTACAGCCAGTGAGAAAGGGTCACGCCATGTGTCAATCTAGTTTACAAGAAGTGAATAATGCTGAGCATTGGACGATATGCTAAGAACAAGTCCGAGCTTTCACGAATATTACATGCTGGTGTCTTTTAGTGGTGGCAAATAATTTTTTAATCTTTATGCTAGAGGATGATCCAGTGATTCTCTGTGCAGATCAGGTACTTTGTTGTGGTGCATATCAATAAAGAGCTACCTGTCATATATGTTCAATGAGCTGACGCTCAAATTTGTAACTTTCCGTTTACATATTTTCACCACCACTGAAGTACCTCAAACGTACAATCAAATGAATTCATTGATTCTATACTGATTAGTTCACTTGAGGATATGATGCCACAAGGGAAAGCAAAGAAGCTCGATTATATGATTGTCGCTTACAAAGGGGCTCTGGTCCCTGAAATGTACATAGAGCATTATCCTGCGACTTGATTAAGAGATGACAGTTGCTAAAGTAAGCCGTCTTAAGAATGGCGGCTAGGGATAAGCGTAGAAAAATTTGAAGCAAGAAAGGTCAGTATCTCAGTGACAATTATCAAGAAGAATAGCCCACCAGTGGGTGCATGGATTGATGGGGCACTTCCCAACTTTCGAAAATTATGATAAATTCATTCCTCTATCATTTGGTATCAGAATTCACATTTTAATTGTTCCATGTTAAGTAAATAATTATAACAATTCCTAAAACATATATACGAGTTGACATATCAAGAGATATCCACAAGTCCTTCTTTGCAGTGTCCCATCAGTCCGTATACCCACTGGTGGCCTTGAACCATTCATGAGGAAAGCCGCATTTAGCACTTTGAGATCTTTCGAGGTTAGAATTCTATAGATTGGTCAAGCCAAAAAAAAGTGCAGAGGAGAAACCTGCGAGAACGGAGGTGGAAAACACTCCCAAGCAGAGTGAAGTATATACCAATACTAGACGGCGACTAATCGATATGAGCTTTATATGGATGTGTAATTAGACGAAAAGTGGAAACAACATTTGAGCCGGTGAAGAACTTGTCTCGCTCTTTTTTGTTGATGTTTTAGCATTAATTAGACTTTTGATTTTCATTGGTAACTTTTCTTTAAGTGAATCTTTAAGATTATCAACAGGGCAAGAGATGAATTTTATCATTGACAAGAGTTTTGAACGAATTCACTCACTGAAGTGTCGCCAATAATAATCGAATAAAATGAATATAGCAGGAGACTTACAGTTTTACCCCTCAATATTGAGCCAATCAGTACCGTATCTGATATGGAAAGTTCTGAATATATCTGACTTGATCATACGATTTACCACTAAAGTATGATCCCCATGAGACAAATGCGTATTGTGGTAGTAATAACTTGAAATTTTCACGAAACTCGTTCGTCTAAAAGTTAAAAATTCAACAAAAAAGCCTGGGGTTTGTCCTCAATAGCAATTAAATGATTAAAGTACCTACTTAGTAACTTTTTTTCTACCACGCACAAAAGGATTATTCGAGAGAAAAATATCCATTGTCTGCGACTCGATAGTCTCTTCAATCGTTTCTCTCTCCCCCGCCCAAAAAAATTCAACAGGACGGGCTTTACAACAAAGCATATAATGAGCTTCCCCTTAAACGAAGTCTGGAGCGAACTTCTGCGATCTACCTCAAATAATGAAGCGATCCTGAAAGAACTTCTCGAAGGTCGTCCAGAGGTCGAACGGGCAACAGATTTAAACTGCATGCTTATGAATTATATTTCTATCATCTACAAGGTCTTCAACATAAAGATAGAACGTGAACAGATTGATCCAAGAGGTGTGTAAGATACCCATATTACAAAGAGAACAAAATTGACAACTGCATCGGTTTAGTTTGGCTACCCAGTGACCACGATTTTATCGAAATGCTGAAGTTATTGGTACGCTACATAAATGACATCACTACATGGATTGAGGACCATGATCAAACCGGCGTGCCTTGGACCTCTATTGGTGGTAAGCATCAGTATGGCACAGATGCAGGAAACAAACTGACAAATTGTTCAGAATTTTACGCAAAGTCATTGCTCGAAGTCGACGCGCAGTGTCAGAGATGGTGGGTATTGGCCGATATGACCATCTTCAATCCGGTCACTACTCCGTTCAAGACACTTCCAACGATGCCGCTTAATGAAGAAAATATTCTGGAAAAATTCAATCCAGCTACCTTCAACCGGTTTCAAGGCGCACCATCATTGTCACACATGGAAGATAGTCCCACCGAGATTGGTACATTTAGAGCTCCGCCGTCGCCAGCATCATCATCATCGAAACGGCGTCAACCCTCCGCTACTGCTTCCTCAAGTATCAGTTGCCAACCCTCAACGATGTCCCTCGACAAAGGCCAGATGCCAGTCGAATTTACTGACAGTTGGAATGATGGTGGAGATTCAAGCTTTTCCTCGCACAATTCATATTGTGATATAGATCAGAGCTTCTTATATAATGGCGGCCTCGAACCTGGAGGGCTTGCTGTACAACAGACTCCTGTTTTCATACCACGCACACCTCGATTGGAACAGAAGGGATTCGCACCATCACCCAACCCGAGTTTGTCATTTCAAACACCTGTTGATAAGCGGAGCAGATTCTATCAGCAAATACCTCCGCCTGCTAGAAAGATTGCTATACCACGGCTTGAAAAACATGGGACTTTTGAGCCACTCTTGCCAGCAACCGAACACTCAGAACATCGACCTTCTCTGCATACTCCACAGACGTCCACTTCTGGACCAATTAGAAAGAGAGGGTACACAGATGTTTTGCCGCAAGCTTTGAGAGGAAACCTAAAAAAGCGACGAGTAGTGGCTGGTGAGATACCCCAGCGTAAATCTGGATACACTGGAATGCAAGAATTTCCACCTGGCCCTAAACCTCTGCATGGCTCCCTAGGCAGCATTGCGGGATTTTCTAGCGGATCCTATAATACCAATCACTCAGCCTCGGCAGCTTCCAGTCCCGTCGAGAGAAATGGGGAAACGCTGCGGACTAATCTCAATAGCGTTTCACACAAGGTTGCAATCGGTTCGCAGATGGATTGGAGTAACACAATTTCAACCGAAAATAGCCCACAAGGGAGAGCTGGAAACATCCTTACCACACAGCAGGACTGGAACGACACTGTATCAGCCGCCTTTGACTCAGAACAGGGTGCGGCGAACACAGGTCTCGGAATCTCAAGTCCAGAAATCAGTCGCGATTCCTCAAACTTTCCAGGAATTCCTATGATGTGTACAGATATGAGTATAGGAAATGCACGCCCGGCTAGATCCCAGCAGCCAATATACTTCAGTTCACCAATACACCCCTCACCGATAACCGGAAGTAATTCACAGGGGTAATGTATCCGGTTTTATACGATTAGTTGAAAGTCGACTAACACTTGGTTTTTTAGTGCTAGCCATAAAAGCTCACGACGTCTGCACCACGGTGCAGTCAAGAGAGATTATGTTTTAGGCGAAGATCAATCTTTAAAAAACGACCAGTCAAATGTGTTCAAACAATGGTAACGTGTTTGCTTGTCTGTGTAAATCATCAGAGAATAGGATTGTGTTGCAAGAGTTCGTTTTGTCTGAGTAGCAGACAAGTACTGTGGTAAAGAAGCACGATTGAAAATGACCGCGAGGTGTATGCTTTCTCATTGCGAAGGACCGGAGATAGGACCAAAAGTGCGGGTAAATATGTGGATAGGCCTCAGGAAACTAAAAAGGGGGAGCATATACTTGAAGGTATACAAATCTCAGACATAGCTCTTCAGTTTGCACTTTGTTAAGGTCTAGAAAGTGGCGTGCTCATACCTGCATTTGTATGTGTCTCCGGCGTTTGGGCGGAGAATTGGCCAATCCAACGTTTCAAAACTTTGCAAACAATCGGTGCCTTTCATGGTTCATTCCATTTTATCTTCTGTGACTTTACGCCTCGTGGCCCAGGAGTGATTCATTTCTAATTTCGATACCACTATTCGTGTAGCCCCCCGAACCTGTAGATGCGCCCGCAATACAATCCTATCTGTACAAACGTTTCCAATATAAACCTTTCATCCTTTTCTATTTACTTGATTGAGTTTCCTGGCCGTTGATATCTGTTCTCTATTAGTATTCGCAGTCTTACGTACCCCGCTCTGCATGCCTGCACATACCTGACTCTTCGTATTCTGTCCTCTTACTGGCAGGCCCATCGCATGCCTCCTTCCCCGGTAACTACCCATCGTCCTCATTCTTTCGATGTTATCCTGCAACCTTCGTTTCAATTCGGTCTCTAAAGGCATGGTGGAAAGCTCAGCGGTCAGAGATGAGACCGTTTTTTGTGACAAGGAACCGACAGTCGCCGTGGGATGGATGTAGTGCTTGGCCATAATACGAGTTGAAGCTTGATTCCCTAAGCCATAGAAGGACTCCAAAGATTTCTACACGCCATGAGTATGCGAATCAAGAATTGTAGCAGGCTCAATAGGAATTGGATGGGGCCTTACCTTCACCAAGTTTCGCTCAACGAACGAGATCCCCAGGATGAAAACCTGCAGCCAATGTCAATGCCCGAGTAGAGAGAAAGGATCGGCGCAAACATACCATTTTCAGGGAGTTTTGATTATACCGGTACGAGGGATAGATGTCTTTAATGTCTCTCACAGTTCTTAATTGATCATAAAGATGTGAAAGTTATCTATCAATTTTGATAACGCACGGACTTCTTGTGATGACCCTCAAGCCTCCCTATTCCCAGGTTTGCACGTGCCATGTGGCGCTAAAGGTAACGACACCTCTCCACAACTCGAGCTTCCTCTGAACAACATCACTTCTTTCTTTTAAGATTCTTCTTGGAGGTACATTATCTTCTTTTTAAAACTACATCCCATTTAGTCGATATTCAATTGACTTCCAAGATGCTCACACTTCAACGTTTTGTAGTCTCAGCACTACTTATCTTAACTGTTACCTTCCTCTTCTTCGCTCAAACGGCCGAAGCTGCTAAAGGACCAAAGATTACCCACAAGGTCTACTTCGACATCAGTCACGGTGATGCACCCATGGGCCGTGTTGTTCTAGGTCTTTATGGCAAAACCGTCCCTAAGACTGCCGAGAACTTCAGAGCTTTGGCAACTGGCGAGAAGGGATTCGGATATCAAGACTCTACCTTCCACCGTGTTATCAAGGACTTCATGATCCAAGGAGGTGATTTCACAAAGGGTGATGGAACCGGGGGCAAATCAAGTAGGTTGCAAAATCTGCGAGCGAAGTACGGGGTTCTAACAATTGATAGTTTACGGAGCTAAGTTCGCAGATGAGAACTTCAAGTTGAAGCACTCCAAGAAAGGTCTTCTCAGCATGGCCAACGCCGGAAAGGATACCAACGGATCCCAATTCTTCATTACCACTTCTACACCTGGGTGAGTAATTTCTCGCAAGTCCTGCAATGGAACTTGCCATGCTAATTCTCTTTGTAGTCATCTTGATGGTAAACACGTCGTCTTTGGCGAAGTTTTGGAGGGATATGAGATCATTGAGGCAATTGAGAACGTAAAGAAGGGAGCATCAGATAAACCGGTTGAAGCTGTCAAGATCACTGAGAGCGGGGAATTACCAGTACCAGAAGAAGGTATCCATGTGGAACTCTAGAGTAGACTCCTTTTGTGGCATGCGAGCATTATTGGGAGGACTTACTGATTCGTCTGTCTGACGTGCTGTAGATGAATACGGTACTGCTGAATTTCAACCCGGCATGGAAGAAGTCGAAGTTCCTCTTACACCAAACGACCCTTCCACTCCTGCTGCTGCCACCGCAGTCATTCCAGTTGTTGGTACCCTACCAAAAACCGAGACAGAGGAGTTTGGCTATGCTGATGAGGCTGGTTACACTCTTTTGCAAAAGGGATTGTTTTTGGCTGTTATTCTAGGATGTGTGACCTTCTATGTACGAATGAATAGAAGAAGCAAGAAGTTTGAGAGGTCAATCGTCTAGTTACATAGCTTTCCATTTAGAATCACTCTTTACATACATTGCTGTTATCATCTCAGTCTATTTACATTCTTAGTTTCTATCCAGTTTCTGTCTCTGAACATGGTATGCTATTACAAAACAACCCTTGTGGATGTTTGATTCCTGTTAATTAACCCTACACTTGAATAATCATCATATCACCAACACCCCTGACATTTAGACCAACTCTGATTTAGACCAAGGATCGTGCACCGCAGCGCCGATCGTTCGTACCAATGAATTTCTCAATCACACACGCCTTCTCGAGTACTTCAGGTTCCCATTCCACCCAGTGTTCGCTGTTCTTACCAATTCTCTCGAGCCATGGTCTCAATGCCCTAAAGGCCATTTTCACACCCCATCCCTGGATCATCACCGCTTCTTGGTTGTTGTTTGTCGCGTAGTGTCTAACTATTGAATCACAATTCACACTAACACAGACATCCTCTTCAGGCCAGTCATCTAGATTGACCATACTCTCCAGTGCAGGTTCCGATGGGGTAATACAGCCCTTGATGAGGCTAGAGAGTAAACTGGATTCTGCGGTTACCCACCTGACTTTTTGTAGACAATGCTCATAATCTCCGCTCGCCGTCAAACTTTGAATCAAGATGCGCTTATCCATGTGATCATCCGTCCTACGACTTGGTTCAGCAGTGGTATCGCCTCTCCAATCGCTCGGCTCTTCACGATCTGGGTCGTGAAGTACGATATTTCTGACAGGTATGTAAGTATATCCACGCTTTTTTGGAACTCTCTCTCGTGCAAAAATATACCCCGCGCGAGGTTTCGGCTTTATGATATCGTCGTCCCCTGTTAAATCGATAATCTCGTATCTCGCCTTCTTATTATTTGCTTTTGCCTCGTATGGTGATTCTCTCTTTGCAGAAATGGTCTGCTGATTGCTATCTGAAGTTTTTCCACATCGAGCGGCTGATAAGTGTTTTGGTTTCTTGATGTAAGAAGACAGCTGCTTGTGCATGAGCTCTCTAGCAGGCTTGGAAACCAACAGGAGATCAGCCAAAATCTGAATGTTCTCCAAGTCTCCCTCAGTTGAAATGGCAGAACTCAAACAGCTAGAGTATAACCAAAGCTCCTTAACAGGCCACTGTGCTATAGTGCTATGGTTCATGTTCATATCATGAAATCCTGATTTTATGACATCGTACATAAACATCATCTTTCCAGGCACTTTGATCTTCAGTTTGCTCGATATTGTTGGGTCGTGACATATCTTCACGTCGTTATCTTTCACGCTCCCACCTTTCTTCCCTTCAAACAATACTTATAGCATAGGCATTCGAGAAAAGATTCTATCCTCAGACACCTTAGTATAGTAAGCGCTAGGGCTCTCATCCGTGCATCGAAAAGCTTGTATGAGCAATGGTCTTTTATTTGAACGATTAACTCTGGAACTGAAGACTCGGTTAAATTTCTCCATGCTTTTCAATACTGTATACTTCTGGTGTGATTCTATTAGGATCAAACATACGGGTATTCGGGATCATTAGGTTCCTCATTTTCAAAACACAGAGGACAACGCTCGCTCGGTCAAACCAAAGTGACTGCAATTCATCCTGCACACCTCATCTTCGAACACATAAGTAAAGTTCTTATATGGAAGATCACCCATATTCGCTGCCCATCAAGACCAACGATGCAAAGATTGAGGTTCAAAATGTGTTATCTAAAAACAAAGTCGACTTGCGTCCAGCTTCAGATACTCACTCAGACCAAAACACATCTCTTGGTGTGGATATGTGTTATTGCATCTCACTGGTTTTAATTTTTTAAGGTGTCCTATCTTGACAGTCAGAAACTGATATTATCATAGATTCTTCCAAGCCCCATCCTCCTCTTGCCATAGCAGAATCTGCTGCCGCCTCGATGAATGATGCGCCTCAATCCGAAAACTCATTGCGACATGATAATAAGGACCAACGAGACTCTGCTGGCGGCACTAGAATCAACCCACACGTTGGATATGAGCACAACTAGTTCGATCGATTCTCAAAGTCCCCCGCAGAAGAAGCCAAATGGCCGCGTTCTCTATTGCGACATTCTCGGCCCCGATGGAACGTCTTGGTTGCCAAAATTATCAAGGAAACAAAGACAAATAAAGAAGCAATGGTACCGTGCGGCTGTTGAAGCGAAGAAGGCTACGAATGAGATGCTTGCCGCTGCAGAGGTAGCAGAGAATTCGGAAATGAGAGATGCGCTGTGACATCTACTTCAAGAGAAAGCGATATCATGGTTCACTGCTTATGATAGCTTCACAGAGTATCGACCAGAATGAAAACAGTGTGAAGAGAATACTCTATTATTGTGTTAGGTGATCGTTCCAGAGAAGGGTGAAACTGGATATCTGCAATGTACACGTGAAATTTATGGCCCTCCATCAATTCTGGAAGGCAGTATCTGGCCAACAACTTCAGAAGTGAGCAACCTTGCCTTTTAAGCTTTTTCCCGCACAAATCATTACTATTTACAGGCACGCCAACTATCTTCCAGTCCTCTTGCAATCATAATCAATGGCATATTGAGGCCAGAGAAATGAGACATGATCGTAGGTGCAGAACTTATCAATGCTACAAGATTCCATGCCACACTCAACCCTCCACTTCCTGTTTTTGCTTCCCCAATTTAAACCCCATCAATGAATGCAAGTTCAATTGATCAAGGAATTGGTGTGCCTATCTCCAAACATGCTCAGAGCCCTTGTCATCATCATCATCATACCACACAGGCTTCTTGATAAATTTATCATTATCTTCCTTGGGATAATCCTCAACCCAATCCCATTCATCTTCCCCACTACCATCTGTGGAATTCCTAAGCCAATGATCAAGAAGATGTGACGAATGCTCCGGATAATCTTGAGTGTAAGCTTCACGAATTTGTTCGTAGCTCTTTGCTTCCACCATATTACGGATGGCAAAAATACCACGAGCGATTAGTGGTTCGATATTCTCTGAGTCGTCAAAGGAAGTATACGCCATCATATATTCGTCCCATTCCACATCATGGTCGGCGAGCTCACCAAAGCCTACGTCGAAATGTTTGTCCTTTCATTGAGTAGAATAAAAATGAGAATGTAATCTTACTGTACCAGGAGCAATGATGCGAAATATATGATCGTGAACGCAAGCTAACTGTTCGCTCCCCCAGATTGAGAAATGATTGAAAAATATTCTATTTTGATCGAAATGTAAATGAACGGCAAAGGGCGTTTCCTTTCCGAAAATATTTAACAATAGATTTGAAAGTGATAGAAAGTTCGTTGAATCCTCCTTCTCTCCTTATTTGAGACTGGAAGTTACCCTGTGGTGGCAAAGTTAATATTACAGACGAAGAGAAATTCAGTATAAATCCCTATACAAATTTCTGTAATATATATAATAATATTAATTTCTTTTTTGTTATTAACGAAATACTGATTTTGTTAATAATGAATATTATTGGTACGAAATGTGACTCATTTATTGTTGAATTTTAAAAGAAAAGAAGAAAATAAGGGCCCTTGAAGGCCTTCGAATATTAGAGTTGTGGGAAAGGTAGATGGAAGAGTGTGTACATAAAAACTAGGAGAAGATCATAGAGGTGAATAGGAGCTAAGGAAGGGAAAGAAGGGAACAAGTGTAGGGACTAGAATAAATGAAAGATATTAGCCAAAAGTCTAAAGGGGGGTTTGTTTATTAATTATATTACTTCACCTTCGATTTATTTTTTAATTAGAAGTTTTATTATTATATTATATAATATAGAATATATTAGATGAATAATATAATCTGATTTTGATATAAATAAACTTTTTTATTTGAAAATAATTGTCTTAGATTAAAAGTTAGAATTAGTTTTCGAAATTCAAGAAATTCTTTAAGATTCTATTAATTAAAATAAGCTTTGTAAATTACTAAAATCTGAATTAATTATATTAATATTTTAAAAATGATTTATTTAATATATAATTAAAGGATTGAAGAATTTATTATAGTGATAAAGAGTCCACTTTATTAAGCACTGATTCTACCACTATGGGGCGTTGCTACATAGTCATTGAAGTGTTTCTTGTGAAAATTCGAGATGCAAAGGCTTTTGATACAAAATCGTTTGTGAAAGAGACAACATGAAAATGGAGTTTGCTCAGAAATAGAGTATCACAAATCCTTAAATCGGAATAGGCTTTAGACTCGATATTTTTATCATTCTCGGTAAAACAATTATCATATTCGTCGAGGACATCATTGCTGACAGCTACCTGGCGTGAGATTGAAGCGGTCAAAACTGCTTCACATAGCACCTTAGACCCTATCTCATTGCTGAGGACTTGCTTAAGAACGACTTGGTCTGTTGATAGGAAAGCGTTGTATATGGCTTTTCACGTAAGGATGATGGACAATAGATCAGGGACGTTTCCGATAAGACACTCAATCGATTGTATCGCTTCAACGGGAAGCAACTCTAGCCTACTCTTTGATTCTTTCGTATCACACGGTTGTAAGTTCAGCTGTGCATGTTGATAGAAATATAGGTAGGTAGCTATGGTTTTGGATGAGTCAATCAGGATTATGACTAGGACGGGCGCGCTAAGGGTTATGTAATCAGGCCTAAGGAACATGTTCACGTATGTCAATTCTTCTACTGCTTTTGGTCTTATTTGTCTCAATGGCACCCGAGTCGATTTCTTTATAAGATTGAAGCATCCATCAAAGCCGTCCCAACACTTTCAACCACCCAATAACGATAGAATGTAGACATGAATGTAGTACTTGAGGGCAGTGCTCGCAATGAGTAAGTTGGATAATACGGTTGGAGTGAGTTCACCGAAGTGTAAGATGGTCGCCCGTGTTTGGGTGGCCTAGGTCGGTTCTTACCTGTTAAAAGGGTTTGTGAAGTGGAATGGGTTGATAATCTGACATCATTGAATGATTTTCAGGAAAACCCATAAATCTTCGATTGCTGCCTCAAATTCAGCCATATTTGACGTTCAACTTTTTCGAACGATTATAAATAAACATTTACTAACCAAACCATAGGTCGGGTCGGATAGTAGGGGACCCAATGACCTTTTTAAGACTAGCGGGCTGGGTTGGGTCTTGAAAACGAAAGTACGAACTCCCGCGTAGCGACCACGGGTTGAGGGTGAGATTCGGGTTGAGGCAAACGCTGACACTGAACAAGCTGTTTCGTCTTGCAAGGGCGCGGCTTGCGAGAAAAGCAGTAGGAGACGAGGAGCATTTTGATAATGAGAGGCAGCGTAGGTCAGAACCAAGACCCAGTAGGTCAGAGAAGAAATCTCAGCAGCAAGGGAAAGGAGAGAGAAGAACACTCCTTAAGCAGACGTAGGAGGGGTCAGATTTCTGCTCGAATACGGAGACCGAGAGTTCTCCGAGCGAAATCCTACGGGTAATAGCACGAAGAGATCTTTTTTGTGTCTTTCTTGCTAGTTTGTTATACTCTGGTCCCCACTCTACTCGTTTCGGCTGCTCGATTTTCTGAGTTTTGAGCTGGCGTTCATTAGACTTGTTTCCCGTTGTATCTTTGAATGGTTTGTTTTTGTATTCACACTTGAGTTTGAGATTTGTATATGCTTTAGAGTTTACAATTGATTCTACCTTTAGAGTTAGAAATTGAGGTCAGCTTCAGGCTTCAAGTGATAATAAACCTCTCTTTCTTAATTAAACTTTACTTCTATGATTGAGATGTTAGTTATCATCTAAAATAATATGTCTGCTACCCTAAATTTTGCACACCCCTCCTTTCGGACAACATTTTACAGCTCCGAAGAATTTCGAGCTGTCTTCTTTATTGTTAGACCACAATCCCAAAAGAGACAATTCAAAGGGTCCAAGCCCTTCAAGGAGGGAGAAAATAGAACGAAGTGGAGGAATGTGACTTCACGGAAGGAGGTCTTGAAACTCGCTCTTTCAAAGGGTCTTCGAAACTGTAAAATTGCTCAATCTCTCAATCGTTTCTCCCTATTTTAGGCTTTGGCTCAAGATCACATTGCAGAAGCCAGGTTAGAGCATTATTGCTCTGAAGTTCCCCCACACCCGGCTTATTGGGGATGCGTAGTACACAATTTTTTTTTTTTGCCCATGTGTCTGAGACTGAATGTCGAGCTGAAGTGTATCCACATAGGGTAAACCCCTTGTGACTCCCTTCATCCCCCAAACCCCCTTCCGAAGCCCATAATTATTTACCTAGCTTGTGTCGAGCGATCAGTCTGATTAATTCCACAGCATATTAACATATACTCACATGGTTTTTGGTCAAGTAAAAAGACCCTACGCGGTACATGAAGCGTCCATCAAAACCTCGACACAAGGATTTTCTCGCTGGGCTTTGAAGCATGCATCTTCAAGCAATATCTACCCAGATATGAAGACCATTGTATCAGAACTCGAATTTCATTATCTTGGTATGTTCCACTTCCAAGATCAAAGTCAAAAAAATCACCCGACTCAGGCATTGAGGGCTAGTATAGGAAAAACTGTGGTCTGTTGGCGAGTTTTGTGGGGATAAGGAAACTTCCATTTCAAACATCTAGTTCGTAGCTTCCAGCACTGCTTGTTTGATTGCTATATCTACACTACCCAGGTTGTTGATATACTTTCATAGTCTACTTGATACCTCCTTGAACCAGTTGACAAAGCCTATGAAACCTCCCTTTGATATTGTAGATTATTCTTCACAAGTCGAGAACGACCCCGAAAGTATGTATCAGGAACGGCATCCCTACTCACAAATCTACTCAGATCTCCGCGTTCTCAGGATACTGACCAAGTTCCACCACATAATCGCAAATAATTTCAGTCCTTCCATCCGGCTATAAATTCTCAACGTCATCCTCCAGCTAGGTGGCATTCACATCCCGAGCACCAACAAACCAATCAACCTTAGATCCCTTAAGTAGCTCGTCTGCCGGCCATGTTACCCATTCGCCACTATTCTTTGTCACTCGCTCAAACCACGGTCCGAGTGCTTTGAAAGAAGAATTCAATCCCCAGATCTGGATAACAAGTGCCGGCGGCTTGCCTCGTTTGGCATGGTCACCGATCACTCGTTCCACTTGATAGTAATCGAATCATCGTCCCTGAGGACCATCTTCAATTTGCCAGGTTGCTCTATTGGATGAGGTTTGTCGTAGACTATGGCTCGAAGTAGTGTAGGCTTATATAATGCCCATTCAGGATCGATCACTTCGTACCAACTCGCATTCTGCCTTGTATGAGCTCATTATGACAAGCTTAAGGGTCTTTAGTGATACCACAGTCTTCTCTCTCCTGTAGGTATAGCTTCAAACCTGTTGCTTTTTCGGAATGCCCGGCTCCACTGTGTTTGACTGAGCGACTGGTAACTGGTCATTCCCTAGACCATGATTTTTTGTGAAGTTCTTATTCATAGAGCTTTCTACTAAGCGACTTTTTCCAGGGATTGTAGGTGAGCTCTGCAGTTTTGGTGGACGCGATATACTAGGTCGGAACGATGTAGATTTTCTCGAACGAGGGAGCGTAGAACGTGTTAGCGGTACCTTGGATTCTTTCTGAGGGAGATTCTTAAGACCTCTGGCCCTTGCCTTGGAGTTCTTCTCTGGTAGCTTGCGCTTCGTGTCAGGCTTTTCGAGAGTGGAATAATTGCGCTTGAGCGTATCTGATGCGGCAATCCTCGTACCTCTACTTGAAACTCCACGTTAGCTTTTCCAACAGAGCGCTGCCAGCACATCCAGTTAAATAAATAAAAACTTGCCTAGAGATCAAATCATTCAAGTCTTTGCCGTCATAGTGTTCGGAAGAGCAAACTTTGGAATGTTCTAATCCATCAGGGTTGTCAAGATCAATAGCTCTGAACTGACTGCCAGCTTTGGGGTGAGTGTAGGGGGTGCCAATGGATCTGAGGGTATCCTTCTACCTTGATGTTAGCCTACTAATCTCCGCGAAAGTAACACTTCATCCCACCCAATAGATAAAGGTGCTGTAGCAGTACTCTGAGATGCATTGAAATAATATTATATCCTTCGAGATGATAATTCGGGGTCAATGGCTTTGGCCAAATTCTTTATCAGATTCTCTCCCAGCTCTGACAAATCTCGTCTTGACCACCCTTTTCCATTCGTATTTGCGAGTTGAACAACTTCCGATTTCCATTCCTGAGCCCTTTCAACTAGTTTTCCTTCTGATCATTCTGGTGCCAATGAAGATCTCTATGAGTCATGCTTGGCTAATACCAATGTTGCCAGAAGCTACGTTGAAAGCTTGATTGTCGTCGTCTTTGAGAAAGAATTTGTGGGCTATGATAAAGGGTTTCTAATGAAGTCGTGTAGACTACCCACCTTTTTTTAGGATGCAATTGGTGTTATTCACTCAGTTTCTGTAGCCGGCAAGATAGATTGCAGTTCGGATGTTTCGCTCCCACATAGTCATCTTTGATACATTTCTAATGAGAGATTTACGGGCAGCTGCTTACAAGCTCCAACACCAATAGAATGCCCTTTTTATTTACTCGATAAGAAGAATGAGGTTCAATTCCATGCTCCTGTATTCGATGAGAGTTTTATTTTAAACTTCCAATCAGATAAAGTGAGCTCATAATATACCAACGTAAAGGTGTCTATTCCACATAGCGTATAAGATAACTCATGAATCTCCAAGAACACAGTAGATTCTCATCGAAACTATAAATTCTAGATACCTAGGTACATAAACAATAAGATTAATGCTGAGCGTACCGCCAGTGAATGTATATACTAACCGGTTAGTTATCACCTTTCAAAATTTGGAATTAACTTGTTCTTTCATTATTTGATATCAAAATACAAATCATCACCATCCAATGATAATAATTGATCGAATTAGATCTAAAATAATATCAAATAATCTTTCTAGGGACATTGCTAATTCAATTCTCACAATGTCCCATTAGTTCGTGCACGCAATACTGTACCTACTGAGCCGTATTTTGCCGCACTAACCTACAGTAACGAAATTAGAATTTAAGCGATGGATCACATGTCCGTTTGAACTGACTCGAGAATGTTCTCAAGTCAAAGGGTAGCTCGGACTTTCAATTTCATTGCAAATACCTACTTATTATAAAACTATTCGCGAATGCCGGTATAATTTGTACAAGACGTTCTCATTCACAGAAGTCATGACATCCTTCGTGGGAAACAATAGATCTACCATCCCCAGAAATCCGTAAGTCGTGTCTTTTTGTTTTTAGTTCAAGACAACCCACTGCCCCTTGAGAGAAGAAACATGAGCCATCAACAATCAACCTTCATTTGGCAATGCTAACGGTTGTGATTGTTGTAGCGCCACGAAGAAAGACCTTCAGCCTTCGAAACTCATCACCTTCCAAGCAACGTTCATCAAGAACGATAAGGAAAAAGTTAACATGACCCAGGCCTCGCAAGCTATAATCTTCGAGAAATTACCTTTGATTCGGGTACTATTTGACTCAAAACTTAATGGGACGTTGAAAGACGACAACGATCAAATTTGTTACGATCCAGAGCATGCAAGAACGGAAAGGCTCGCATTCCCTAGAATCCCGGGAAAAACGGTCTACATGTACAATTTAATCCAGTCGAACCTCAAAAATAAAGGACGGGAATACGAACATATTGCAAAATGGAACATTGGAACTCTTTGGACGATAATTGATTGCCTTGTACGCTTCTTGAATGGAAAACCTTTGCCTCCTGATTCCAAGATGGGTCTTATGGAAAAACATTGGGATCTCGAATTAATAGGTGTTGAAATACTGGCAATATACCTTGGATGTACTGAGATAAAAGAAAAAGCTGTGCACGACGCGTTGATTTCATACATGCGCCGGCTTCCTACCTCTGGATTCATAAACTCTAGCAGCAAATTGGAGAAAACATCCAAAACAACGACCCATGCGAAAATGTTCAATAGGAGCAACTCCAGACAAGCTGAGATCATTGACTTGACCGAAGAAAATCAAATTGGTGCGCCTAAGACTCTGAAGGAGAAACAATCATCAGCACCCAAATCACAGAAGTCAAATTTAGGCCAATTGTCTTCCGGTCCAAAGATCTTGGAGATGGAACCTCCACCAGTTTCTACATCAAAAAATTCTGTTCGAGCAGGCCAGTCAAAATTCGATTCACGAAATTCAAAGACTGGGGATCCAGCTCCTACTCTGCACAGATCGAAAAGCTCAATGCAATCGAACCAAATCTCACAGGGACAAAAGAAGGCAACGCGACCATCTCCAACTCAACAAAAGTCGAACAAAGAATCTCATCAAATCATCACCACCCAGCCTTCAATCGAAATAACTCGCTCAAACTTCCACCGTCGGAGCCCTCGATCTATACCGATCGACGCTTATATTAGTCTCAACGAAACATATGGTTTTTTTCTTCATGTGCACATAGATTCAGCAATGAAAGGCTCAGGACTGATTGGCCGACTTCTACAGGACTTGAATATGGGACTCTTTAATACTGGAGACATGTCGAAAGTTGTTGGCAAGGGTCGTAATGGGAAATCTATGTTGATTTGGGATGAAGTATTGGAATACTTTAGCGTGCCTGGAAATGTGGTGGAATATATGCTGTCATGGAGTGAAGATGATCGCTGGGCACCAATGGTGATGTTCATTGAGCGGTCTCAACTGGATCGTGCTTTGTGGCAAGATTGGGATGAGCGAGATTTAGCTCTCTCCCACTATTTCGATATGTTTGTGAAGGCTAGTCCTGCGGCAAAAGATGTCTAGGCTGATTGTGACTTCAATCTTGACTCCAAATTCTGGACCTCCGCTCAGGTTGATCCATTAACTTTATCTGTGGTAATGATAGGAGTAAGACAGACGAAGCTTTTTTGTCAGAGTAAGGGGGGGAACACGGCGAGGGGAGGGGGGTAGCGTGCAATGATATCATGTCATGTTCAGAATTCTGATAAGAACACACAACTCTTTTATACAATGTTTGACAGCAGGCTTTTCCATACTTGTGTATCCAGAGAATTCAAGACTGTGTAATGAGTGATAAATGGATGATAACTGCAATCTTTTCAATATTTTAAAGGAGTTCAGAATCTGAAAAGTGAGGTTTCGCTCAAGCTACTAGATGCATGCGTTGGCTTGCTTATAGTCCCACATAATCATTACTAACCTAGACTGTCAACTCTAACTTGACCTTACTTTATTGTCAACTTGAGAAAATTGCAACAGAATCACCCTCGGTGTCAATAATAACTCTTGAACCTGAGTAGGATTAATAAATTGGTTTTACCAGACTAAACTTGTCATTTTGAAAACGTAGAGACCAGATGTGCGTGCACAAAAGGTATCTTATATTTCCATGATTCCTTGATCGATTTGACCCCCTTCGAAACTCGAGAAGCGTCCACCATAAAATTGAGTGACCGATAAAGGAGCAAAACTATCCATGAGCTCTAGACTGAGACCTCTCCTCACTCTCACTCATTATCCTTCTCGCCATCTTTCAAGGCTATCTGTTTGGTACCGGGTGTAACGATCTTCCCCTCTAGTATCCATCTCCATTTCCATGTCTAAAACCGCATTCATCTCCTATATATTCAACATTTCCCATATTTGGAGGCAGTCGCGTTCTGTCGCTTTGAAATATATCAATAAAATGCATGATTTCTACTATAGATGGAAGCAATAGTTACCAAGTTCTGAAGCCACCATCGCCATCGCTAGAAGTATTCGTAATTACAATTATCTGCATCTCGCTCTGTGCTTTAACCTTCTCAGACTCCTACTTCAGGGCTTTGCGTACTTTCATTCTGTGAGATTCTATAATAAGTATACTAAATCACTTATTAATATCTTACTAATTAAGAATTATATTAACAACTAATACATATATAATATGATTCTACATTTTGAAATTATATTATTATATTATTATACTATCATATCTCCTATCAAATTGATTTATAATGGAATAGAATGTGAGGGAATTATATAAAAAAATTATTATTAAATCACATTAAATTGATTAACTATTCCTTTTTTATGATATAAATGATTTTATAAGATTCGATTCAAATCGATATTATTGATAAGCATAGAAACTATTAGAATTTCATAATAAAACTACATAAACCTAGGATATTCTTTAAAGAAAACCTAGAAAAAGCAAGCAAATTCAGATCTATTCAAGCTCTTTCTTATAATTTGACTTCAATTCAAGTCTCATACCATATTCGATTTATCCCTTAAGCTAAAGTGACGAATAAGTCTTCCACTAATATTAGAATTCTAATATTATTATTACTATTCTAGAAGCCAACCTCTAAGAGTTTCGTAAGAAAATTTGAAAACAGACTCCGCGTTCAAAAGAAACAGGACCCTGATATCAAGATAAAGTAAAATCTGAATTAAATGGCTGCAACTCACCTTATATGCGTCTGTGCTGTGACGCGCTTGAATTTTGCTATCACATCATTATTTCAACACCGATGGCTGCATCCATGAAGCATCACGTTGGCTCAAGGCACATATCCTTGATGTGCATTCTACCCATGACTGCGGGGCAATCTTGTCATATCGCACCTCAGGACTATTAGTGATGAGGAAGGTCTGTAAAAATGTACAGCGAGGGTAAAGCTTCATATCTATAAATCAAAAATCGTGGCCAAAAAGGAGCATGAATTGAGATGCAAGATCATCTCTAAGAATGGGCTGGGTGTTGATATCGACTTGAACCGGAGTTAAAGCACAAGTATGAGAAACAAAAATATTACCTATCCTGCGACCGCAATACATTCACCAAAATTTTCATTACTATGTCAATATCAAGCCAGCTTAGCAGACTTGAAAACAATTTAATACGTCCTCTGTCCCCTTGAATCATGCAGGAAATCATGGTCGACCAACTTCAGAACCCCCACACTCAGTAGCTCCTCCAAAGCAGCCGCATCATCCGCCACGCTACCATCCACCTCGACCATAAATTTCCTCAATCATCACGATGTCGCCATCCCAAGTCTGATGTCACGTTTTGAGCTTCGTTCGCAACATAATCGTTTTCACGTACTCTCTTACTTTGTGCCTCATCTACCGACGATATACCTGATTGCAGAGCTCTCTTATTTACAAGAGAATTACCTGTTGGAAAACAACGGTTAGTCGACCAAAATATATTAACCACGCGCAGAGGCAGCCCAGTAGTCCGGAATTGAAGACTAGGTCAAGGATTTCGAATTTGAAAGCAATTCGATGGTCGACTGATAATCAACAGCTCAAACCATTCGAACATTCCAAGTCGATCCAGACATTCCAGCCTCGTATTGTAAGACTGCAACCCCGACTACTGAAGTCTTGCATAACCATACAATAAAGGTCGATCTTGAGTGCTTACCGGTTTCAATAGAATGACTATGGCGTTCCTTCAACCTGTGATTACGGTACCTCTTCCGTAGGAAAGCAGTTTCCTCTGTGTTCGCACCGAGAAAACTACCAAGCATACAAACTTCATCCAATTCCGCCTCAGAAGAAATCCGCTCCTCGAAGGATTTCCCATCGACAAACAATACCCAAGTTCTTGTGTTCAACCAAATCTTTTCAATACTCCATCCGCAAAGTATTCTTATAACGTATGGAGACTGAGAACCTCGTATCTTATGGAAATAGGTAGAGTCTATTAAGTTAGTCAAGTAGATGATTTTCGCTTTACCAATGCATCTTTTTTTGTTTTGGGTATATTCAGGGTCATAGATTGCCTTGTCATCCGGATCAGAGAACATTCCAATTCGTTTTACATTGAATGCAAAACCTGCGAAAGGACACATCTGAAAGAATTTCTCTTCTCCCACAGTAACGAATTCAGGGAATTCGGTTTGCGCCAGATATGGTACATCTGAAGTCTCGTGCCTTTTGAGAAAGTAAATTCTTCGGTCTTTCAGCGGAGGCATTTGTGGAATGTCCCTATAGTACAGGTAGATTGTTAATGGTCTTTCTTCATCATCGTTGACTAGATATGGATGGACAAACTTACGAGGTACTAGGTATCGGCTTCTTTGACGTGTTCAGAACAGGTTTAATTGGCCTTGGAGGTGGTATTACTGCGGCACCAATGTACTTGGATGGGAGCCTGCTCACTGTTTGATTTACCGGATAACGACTGCTATTGTTTGCCGGCTTGTTGCGCAAATAGTCTCGCACAGTCTTTCCATCCTCTGCAATGCTTTTGTTTAAAGAGGAAACTGAAGCTTTAGAAAATTCAGTATTTGGTAACCCACATGGATGCAATCTCCTGACTGATGGATACTGTGTAGCTTGGGAAAATTCTCTGGGAACAGGAATTATTCCATCATGGCGCAAAATATCTTCTAAAAGTGGTCTGATTGGAGAATTCTCCGACACTCTGCGATCATTCACAATTTTTTGGACCTCCGGCAGAAGGAATGAACATAAATTGACCAAATCTGAGTCATCAGACTTTGATGATAGCTTGCGCTTATTCATGTTTAGTTCTTCTTATGAGAGAACTGATGTCTCGCGTCCGTGGCGTATGAAATCGATGATAGATAGATGAAGAAGGGTAATCAGATCTTGGAAGACTTTTAAGTTAACAAGATTGTTGTACAAGAGACATTAAAGGACTAGTGAAGACTCAATATCTCACAGTGCCAGAATTTTACGGTTGAGAGTGAGGATCGGAAGTGAATTCAATGCATCACGTGGGCCGTATTTTAGATTAAGTAATATATAAGTAATTCCGGGACGAGTAAACTCGCTATCTTTTCGAAGTGTGAATATTTCTTATAAATATATTAGTTTATAAATTTAATAGATATTAAAAAATTCAAAAGATTCAAAACACCTAAAACACTTAAAACACTTAATAGTGTTTTTAGTATTTTTAGTATTTTTAGTATTTTAAGTATTTTAAGTATTTTGAGTATTTTGAGTATTTTTACCTAAACTTAAAGTGATAGAAAAGCAAAGTGTGTAATTTATTATACTATTATTACATATATTAGTATGAAAATTTTCATTAAATTTACTTCATAATTACCTTTTATATTTTCTATTCAATTTGAAATTATTCCTTCCCTCATTTTTTTTTATACTTTTTTTTTTTCTTAACTCTTTAGATAATTAAGCTAATAAAAGGTATCATGTAATCATATACAAATGAATTCCTGAGTCTTGAAAAATGAAATATACATAATCAACAATACGTCATATAAAAGTTTCGTAAAATCCGACGCATAAGTTTTTTCCACTACGCTCCGAAACATTTGACTTGCAAATTATGTTTTCATATCCCATCAAAAGGATTTATAGCCTGTGGAGGGACTTCTTGAGAGCTTCAGATCATCACTTAGAATGTGTACATGATTCGCAAAATAGAAGGTTGAATCTGATTATGATATCTCAGGCTCGACTTTGTATTTTGGCTTGTCGAAAGACTCTGATGCTTGTTACCGTGGTATAATATATAAAGCATAAGTTTCTATTGGCAGTGTTAATGAATTTTGTGTGTAGGTAGGTACTGTACTTGGGCAGGAAATCGAGTGAATTTCAGTTGCCCCCCTTATCTCGTCTCAACTAATAGCGAAATTCACCCAGGCAACTAAAATTGCTCAAGCTCAGCTTCGCATAGAAGCAACTTGATAGTTCAAGTCTCTCACCTTCAACCAGGCTCTACTTATAACAACAAAGAGAGAAAGACGCGACAGCAATTTCTTTAACAAGTTTTCCCTCTACCTAGGTCTGCTTTTGGAGAAAAGATTGCTTGGCGCTTGTCGAATACAATAAAGCACCTTTTCTGACTGTATTATCCATTTTGTTACAGTCTTTCCCTGTCTTGTCCTTGTCATAAATCTTTCCAAGTCTACAATTCATTTTGACATCTTTTGATAACCCTAAAAATTGTTTATATACACACCACTAATAAAATACGAAAATATAGGAATCTATTGAATTCTAACAAATTCTAATGAAAATTACCTCAATATTACCTGATTACAAAGATTTTTATTGAATATTTCTGGATTCCTATAAAAATGCAACTAAAACCCTTCAGAATTCAATAAATACTAATATTTTCATAATTTTACTAATATTATCAATATCTCCTATGTATTCTAGTAAATAATTCAGCTATTTATATTTACTAGTATAATATCTAAAGCTTCGATATCAGCCACCATATTACTAACTTACACTACTCCAATCACTATGATAGATAGAACAATACCATCAGCCTCCAGGCCCCAGTGACAAGATAACAGTATATAGATCAAATCTAATAGCTTACGAGCCCCCGCATGATACTAGGGTGTTTTGTTTTTGTTTTTACTCATTCCACGCTTTACATTGGCATGAAGATTCCTTTCATAACTATGTTATATATGCTTTATACTTCTTGGCCGGGTTAAATCGAGAATCTAGTAGCAAGCGTCGCTTTAATTCAACTATTTCTATGAGAATAGAGCTTGTTCCATTTAAGGTACATTTTGCATTCCCAGTATACCTTAATATTCACATCTAGCTATGAGATCTCTGAAGATCTTTCTCAAACGTTTAAACATCTATATCCTTCATCGTAAATCCTCTCGTATGTTGCACCCCAGGAGCCTTCATATAACGCAGCATATTATGATAATTGTTATTGTGAGATTCCATAATAAGTATACTAAATCACTTGTTAATATCTTACTAATTAAGAGATATATTAATGACTAATACATATATAATATCATTTTATATTATAAAATTATAAAATTATATTATCATCTTATCAAATCTCTTACAAAATTGATTTATAATGAAATAGAATGAAATAAAAACAAATAAAAATTATTAATAAAACGAGCTAAATTGTTTAATCGTACTTTCCTTTTATAATATAAATGATTCTATAAGATTCGATTTAAACCAATCTGATTCATAAACATAAAAACCGCTAGAATTTCATTACAAACTATATGAATCTAGGATATTCTTTAAAGAAAACCTAGAAAAAGCAAACAAATTCAGCTAAATCAAGTTCTTTCTTATGATTTAACTTCAATTCAACTTTTATATTATTGTCACGGGTTCAATACATAGTTATATGGATGTCTAAGATATTTACCCTCTATATAGTCGGAACTTCTCTATCTTTTTCTTTATTCTTCATAGAATATCACACATTTTATTTAGTATTTATCTCTTATACTATAATAATATATTCTATTCTACAAAAGAATCTCATTATAATAAAAGCAATTCAATTTTGAAAAGAAATTCTTTATTTTTGTTTTTATTTATTCAAAACAAATCCTTTTATAATTTTCATAATCTTTTATATCTTTTACACCTCTTCATTTTCATTTTTATCTTTATCCTTATCTTCATCTTCATCTATATCTTTATTTTATCCTTTTTATTCATTATAATTAATATACTAAGTACTTCGAATATTAGCTTGTTATTATCTATTTTGTCTAAAACATTTAAAGCTAAAATCAATAATGCTTTTAATTAATAATAATAGATTATAGAAAAGCTATTTAGCCTTTATAATTATAAACTTTATAGCCCCCTTTCTTTATTAATATTAATATAAAATTAATAGGATTATCTTAACTATTTATGTAATATTATTAATTATATATTTGATTTATTCTTTATTATTTAATAAACATTCAAATAAGATTTAATTATAAAACATTTCCTTAAGATTATTATAATTAATTAATTAAGTATTTAATTTCAATTGATTTAATTATTATAATTTCAAATCGTATAAAATCCATTAAATGTTTTTATTTAGGGTGGGGTTGGCTGATAATAAACTTCGAAGAATTCTGAGCTTTTTTAAGGGGAGAAAATGGGATTGATATTTTAATAAAAGGAATATATTATTTAGAAGTAAGGTTTACAAATCTGCTGGATAATTGATCCGATTGTTTTCGATATAGATAAAAAGAAGTTTTTACATTTAGTTTTTTTTATTAATGGTTATGTATATCAAAAGAAATTGATTAATATAAATGATATTGTTAATAAAACCTTGATTTATATTATAAATAATTCCTCTTTTAATAAGTTTAATGAGTTTTATATTTTAGTCAATGTAGTATGTAAAGCCTCGATTTGATTTAATAAATTTAACATGATTAATAATAAAAAATTTCTTTCGATTTTTTATATTCAATTAGAATATTTCGATATAATATAATATAAATAACCATATGAAATAATTATAATAATGAAAACTAAAATCTTTTATAACCTTTAATAATTATTTATATAAGATTCTAATTCTTATTTTCTTATTAATGTTAATAATTAGAAATAGAAATTTAAAGTTGGAGTTAGAATTTATAAAAGAATGAATACCTTTTAAAATCAAAAACGAATTTCAAACTTTATATAATATTATATATTTTTGATTAATATATTATTCATTATATTAGTATTATTTGATCCTATAAATCTCGATGCTTTCAGAATATAAAATTAATAACAAAAAGAGGAACATTGATTTAATCTCTATTATTATTATTAGAAACCTGATTATTTAATATAGAATTATAATATTAAGAAATAAACAGATATATAATAAGTAGTTAAAAAAAGCTTAGGATTTGTAGATCCTTGAGAAGGTTTTAATGGTTGTAGGTTGTATCAAGGTACTCTTATTGATCAAGGTAATCAACATTCTAATTAATATTAAGATGGATTTTATAATTGAAATGATTTTCAGGAATATAATTCTTAAAATAGTTATAATAATAATAATACTTATATTACATTCTATTTTAAATAATAATTAAATATATTTCAAGGATTTATTGAAATTAAATCTTTAATATTTTTAAAAAACGTATTTAATACTTTACCTTATAATATATTAATATCTCTAATTAATAATTACATAGGAAAAGTTTAATCTTTATATTGAATTACTTATAAAGATTATCAAGAGATATTGAATAAATAAAACAAGTTATTATTAGTAAAAAGCCTTTACAATTTAATATTATAAATAATAAATCTTTACTTATTAAAACTATTATATTTCTAGTATATAAATCTCTTTTTGATATAATTAGTTTAATAAATAGCAAATATTTTGGAAAAGTGTTTATAAATTAATCTTTTGTTATTAATTATAAAATATATATTCAAACTCCACTCTATTAAAGAAAACTTTACTTAATAAATAGTAAAGTTGTAAATATCATTACTAAATATTTTATTATGAATATAGTTATAGGATTATGTTATAAAACCTAGCTATTTTTTATTACCAAATTATTTCCTAATACATTAGTTATTTTCAACTTGTTATAACTTTAATATTATAATCTGTATATAAACTAATTAAATATAATTTTCTTTTTTATATTATTCTATTACATTATATAATATTGCTTTTGAGATATATTATATACTATTTAAATATTAGTAATTTATTTATTACAATTAATTACAAATCTATTAATAATTCGGAAATAATTTTAAAT